AGAACAAGCTAAGGTTAGTGAAGGAACAATATATTTAATATGAATAAAAGATTTAAAGTAAAATTCCGCGAGGACCACGCCTGCATGCCATCCGACCAACTACAATCAATTCACTTCATCCTTCCCCCCTCTTCATCGTTGGGTTTTTCCCGTGTATAATGTCCAATGCCTATTTACAACATTGTCTCATATTAGGGCCCAATGACACTTCATATTGATAACCTATCGAATAGATCTTCGAACCTCCTCGCTTCACTAGGTAGGTATGATTCCATTATAATGTCGGCTACTAACAAATAAAGTACATGATCAGGATTTTATGTAAATGAGGAACAAAAGGCTGTCTAGAACTAATTATCGGTTGTTTTCACATCAGTAACTATCCTTCGATATTTTTCTTTTCATCATCGTCAGCCTAATTTTCGATTTCCGAGTTTGATCATCAAATGGGTGAACACCGTAACAGAAACTGACCTTGGATTTACTTGAATCCCTCACAGGACAAAGCACTCGTAAGTAGATCACTTACGTAGCCGATCTGTGTCGAATGATTAGGGGCCTACAAAAATTAGACGGAGACGGTTTGGACAACCAGATAACGTCGAAGTCACACCTTACGCTTAGCACCCAATGTGGTTTATTTTTTGTCATATCGAGATACTTTGGCTACTTTGATAACCGTGCAACAAGACGGACGTCATTAGAAAAATATAGATGTGAATAGTTACAAGAAACAATATAAACGCAGCTGCACAGTACAGTCCATGACGTGCGATTTATTGTTTCGCGTCGGTTATGGTTCATCATGACGACGATTGGTGAACTGCTCGACAATCAGTGACCCGACTGTTGGACGTTTCAGTTAGGGCCGAGTAACATTTCGCTGGCCCTGCTAATATAGGAAAATTTGGTGTTTCCGGACAAAGCATCCGAGTGGCAGAATTAATTTGATACTACTTCGTTTTTTATTTAGGTTGCCATATATTTACAAATTTTAGGCATCAGCCTCTTATAAAAGAAACGTCTTACATCAATCATGTTTTAAACTGTAGTTCCATATATGATACCTGAGGTTATAGTTCATTCTTAGGTATATACGCTAAAATTAGGTTTGAAATGATTCCAGAGATTGAATTTTAAATACTTCCAATGTTTCGTCTAGGAAACTCGACTACACTTATCGAAAAAAACATAATGTCTAACAGTCAAATTAAATCTGTATTAAGTGTTTGTTCAATAACTTTCAGATGTTGACTTTACCAAATAAGGTAATATGAGTAAGGTAGATGCATATCGCGTGAAAACTTCACAAAATAAAAACGGACACATGAATGAGTGCATGCTTATGTATAGCTTTATGTTACTGATAGTTAATGTTAGGTGTCCATTTGCTTACTAAAAGCATGAACAAAAATGTAAACTGAAAATGTTTTTGAAACATCGATGTGCATAAGATTCATCAAATACATAGATGTAACAACAAAATATTCAGATTAATCTCTTTCAGCACAGGTTAGATAGGGATATGGTCCAATTACTCTTTGATGATCATTTACCGAAGGGTATTTGGTTGAATACCATCTCATCTATCCAGGCTGATCCGGTTAGTCCATACATACAGCACTCCGGATGTTAATCTTTCTTTATTCATGTCAAACCCTCTTAGGAGTATTTCGACACTTTCATAGTCTGACTTTTTTTCTGGTTCTAACTCATGTAACCCTGTCACCGCTTGCCATAGAGTATTTCGAAACAGTTGTCCGCGCAAGATATTGAATTCCCGTTGACCGATTACCATCGGCGACCATCTACTGTGGGGGGGGAACAAACCTGCTTCCAGCTGTAGAGAAAATTAGGAAAACACGCTGGATATAGGGGGGGGGCATTACGAGGTGAGCACTAACTTGGAATCCTGAATGGAAACTGAAAAAGGGATCCAAGGTCAAATTGAGTGGATTATTTGAAACGGACATCAAAAGTATGAATTGCAACTGTGAACAACTGGGAAGGATTTTTCAAAACAGAGTTAGATGGAGAATGCTGGTGGGCGGCTTGTGCTACTCCACTAGGATTAACAGGCGTGAGTAATTAAGTATTATAAAATGTGACCTACTCTTTGAAAATTGACGTTTATTCTTTTTGACTTTATGTATCGTCGCCGTCTTTAACTATATGATACCGTATCTCTATCCCTGCTGATCATGGAAGTTTGCGAGATCTTGATTATTTGATGTAGCATATACCATGTCGCCATGTTCCTTCCATATCGTTTCTTTTTATTTATATAACAGTCGATTTGAAAGTCCAACATTTCAATGCAATATGAATTTGATTCAATTGGTTTACAGTGATATTTATCTCCATAATGCTTCCTGCAAGACAACGATATATTTAATAGACTCGTATTCGAAGTATGTAAAGTGCACACCTCAAACAGAAGGTAATCGTGCCTCCCAAAGTGCGGTTTACTAACGTTACTTTTTTACCTCAGCTCCTTGAATGAATGAGTACTAAATAATAATGTTGGATGGTGATATAGTTCGTCTTCGCTTCGTTGGTTATTCAAAAACACTGCCTTGAGCGAAACAATCAAGGGAAGTTTTTGAACACTTTTGTCGAAAGGGTACATAGTTTTCGAATTTCCCTCCACAGAGTACATAAACTGTTTATCCTTTTCAAGTCATTTTGGAAAGCTGAGATATCTGAAAGGCTCTTAATCTCCCTACAAATCTTGCGATCATCTTCACATGGGAGAATTCGAGAATACAGGAAAAATATTCTTTCTTTCATAGGCAATAATTATAAAAGTTGATTAAGGGTGAAACGTTTTGTTACTTTAACTGTTATTTTAGATCAGTCAGATAAGCGAGAAGGGATAGACACGTTCAAGCTTATTAAATGATAAGTGCGAGATATAGTTTCGGAGAAATATCTTGAATAAATCTAGGAGACCATAAGCGCCAGGTGATCGTGCAATTTTAGGGCAATTTTATCAATGAAAGGCAGTCAAGAGGTTAGTTTTACAGGATCCATTTGCAAGAAAACTATGTTCGAATAGCCATTGAAAAGATGGTTTCAGTGAGGTTGATCAATAACTTTTTACTTAACGTTCATGACGGAAAAGATCAATGAAACATGCTTATGGATAAACATAACTGCACCCTTTTCTCAGTAAAAAAAGTCACGTCATATATAAAGTAATCTCTCAAGATAGTAGCAAGAGAGACGCCTCATAGATCAGTCTACTATCTTGAGAGTCTTTACGGAATCCAATTGATCTAACAGGCTTGTGCTTACTCATGAGGATCACAATTTTGAGTAGATCAAATTTTAAATCTTTTGAATTGTCTTGGAAAATGTTGATTTGTTCACCATCAGGCGGAGATATGTTTGTTCGAAAATAATTAGATCAGCATTCTGTTGTATATAGCTCGAAAACTTAATAGTGGGATCTAAGTAGTTCAAGCGCATTACATTGAATGTTATGCACATAGAGCCGTTTAAAATGTTAGTGTCGCTCTTTACAAATATCACCAAACGGGTCTGTTAATCTATCCTATTGAACTTGGATTTCAGGTTAAATTCTCTGATTAATGTATTATGATGTCACTAACTTAAAGTGTCGTTAATAAGACGCTATTTTCTCATGAATGTGCGCCTACTCTTGATGGTCTTGTGTATAACAAAGCTAATCAACAAGAGAAATTGAGCGGTAAGTGTTGACGAAAGGAATGGTATAGAATGTTCTCAGGCACATCATAACATTATTCAAAATCCACCATCTCCACCAAAATATATTTTAAAGCTAGCTCGTACATCACCATGGTCACTTTCGTGGCAGTTTTTAAGCATGTGTTTTGTGGCTGATCCATGAACCATGGAAACAATGAGTGATAATAGTGAGCGTTAACTAAATCCAAGTTTGGCTAAAACTGTTATGTTTTCTGTTGAGATCGTGAACCGAATAACGATAGATCACCATTGAAAACCTGGTAGCACCGGATGGCCGTTTTGTTTTATTGTGGGACTCCTCAGCAGTGCGCATCCACGACCTCGCTCGTTGGATTCGAACCACGGGCCATCAGTCTCACGCACGAAAGCTTAACCTACTGGACAACTGAGCCGGCATCCAATGGCGTTAATGTCTAACCGCAACCAATCCACGAAATTGTGCGACCATCTTTCATCATACGGAGATAGATACCTGTCTCTACCCAACACGGATTAGCTACACTGGTCACAGCTTCTCCCTATGACTTTGAGAATTCCCTCACGAATATAGTTACTAGTGAGTACATGATAGTTAACAGGATGTCGTATCTGTGGACTGAAACGGCTGCAGAGTCGAAAACAGCTGATTGTGGGTAGATCATCTATGTGAACGGTGAGCCTACTCGAGTTCGATAAGAATGATGTAACCTCCTAGCCTATGTTGAAGACACACTAAGTGGTTAATATCTAACCCGGGTCATTCAACGTAATGCGTCTACCTTATCGAGTACATGGAATAAATAGAGTTAAAAAATAACAGCACGTATTACTACTGACAGATTAGGGAAGTACAAAGAAATGACACTGCCAAATTGGCCGTCTATGATGTGCGGCTAATGAATCCTTGTTGGCGATTGTTGAATTTGATGGGGTTTGGAAATTCTTCAGAGCTCAGTGGTATTCTGTCTGACGTAATAATGGTCCTTTTAGATAGGTGATTTGGATAGACGTCGGTGACATTTTTCCGGCCTTACGTGGCGTTTCATTTACTGTTTAGTATTTTTAAATATCTCTAACACGTAGGTTATAGATCTTAAATGCCACAACAAGCATTGAGAATAAAATTGTTAATACAAGGTTGACCACCTGCAGAAGATTTGCTCAATGCGCTACGTAAAAGTGATATGACCTTGCGGATACTGTGAATATTGTAAATATCAAAACCCAATCGAAAAATGTATTGTGACTCATACAAATAAACGAGATATTCAACGGCACGGCTATAATTTATGGATGAATCAACTTTTGTTATTCAGGTGTGGTAAGTTTATCGAGCATTATTCGATGTCAGTCAATATTAATTAATTCATATACATTCTAAGTTAAAATAATATCACATGATATGAAGTGTCGTATTCGCGTCTCGTATGGTCTTGAGCTCTCCTGTCTTTATCTAGCTAATTCTTAAATTATAATTTAAGGATATATTGTCAATTAATCAACAATTGCTATTACAAAAAGCATTTAATAACGACTGTTAGTGGTTTAAAAATAGTTCCCTAAATAAAAAATACTACTCAAGCAAGTGGAAAATAAGGAAACAAGAGAACAAAGGCAATATATATATCACATATTGTTGGTACGACATATATATTCATAAGTCAACTTACAAGTTGACGAAACCATATTTAGGACAGCTAATGTGGTTTCGAGTTATTAAGTCGAAAGATGTTTCATTGTGGATATTCAGCAAGTAGCCACAAAATTTCCTGTAGCCTCCATGGCTCAAATCTTGTTTTAATTAGTAAGGGTTATTAAGCCCACATCGCATATTACATACACGTGACGTTTGTTACTTGTAGGGAGATCGATTTTCTTCAAAATCTAACACATACTTATTGTGGTGTAGCTTTTACGATACCAACTAGTGGCTATACTTCTTATTTAACATTGTTGGTTAAAGATTCACTTACAGATGATATTGTCTTACTGTGCGATAATGCCCAAGCCATGCAATCCGCACTTAATCAGTTGGCAATCAACGTCCGTAGGTATGGTATGAGCTTTGCACCTTCGAAGTGCAAAGTACTTCTACAAGACTGGCAGGATTCTAACCCTGTACTCACTCTGGATAGTGAGCAAATAGAAGTAGTCGAGAAGTTCGTGTATCTGGGTAGCTGCATAAGTGCTGGTGGTGGCGTGAGTGAAGAGATCAATGCACGTATAGTGAAAGCCAGAGCGGCTCATGCCAATCTGGGCCATCTTTGGCGCCTTCATGATGTCAGTCTGCCCGTAGAAGGTGGGATCTACAACGCGTCGGTGAGAGCAGTTTTGCTCTATGCTTGTGAAACCTGGCCTCTCCGAGTTGATTATGTTAGACAGCTCTCTGTATTCGATCATCGCTGTCTCTGAAAGATTGCTGACATCCAGTGGCAACACCATGTTAGTAATGCAGAGGTTCGACATCGTGTGTTCGGACACAGAGACGATAATCCAGTTGGTGTCACCATCTTGAAACATCAACTTTGGTGGCTTGGATATGTTCTACGAATGTCGTTCCAGAGAATTCCTCGTCGTGCATTATTTGCCGACTCTGAGACTGGTTGGAGAAAGCGAAGAGGTGGTCAGTATATGACATGGTGTCGTGGGATGAAAGAAAGCTGCAAAGGACTAGCTTGTGTTGGTCCTTCTTGGCTTTCTGGCTGGGGTCCGAGAGATGGTGAGACACAGTGGCTAGAGACGTTATCAGATATGGCTCAGAATAGAAGCCAGTGGCGATCCTGCTGCAATCTTCTTTTACTTTCTTCTTAAAAAGTGGTTATATCTTCCTAACTGAAAGATTTCTTCTGATTGTACCTTTCCGTTCCCCCATTTTTACCATTATTATTATTATACCACCTTACATCAATCTCTTCGTTATTATTCTCTTTTTTTCCTTCCCCTTAAATTCTCATTGTTTTGTGTGGCGCATATATATTTGGTGCATCCTTGTACCAATATTTATGTGTTCAAATAAATAAATAAATATAAATAATATATTTGTAATATCCCAATGAGTAGAAAATTGGATTTTCTGACGTTTCGTGACTTATTCGAAATTATCAAATCAAACCTTGGTAATGACACCTACAAATAAATAAATAAATAATTTGGTCGTCATCTAAAAAGCTCAATTAGTTATCAAATCTTATCTAACATTTCATTTATTACTACGGTCCCAATACTTATTATTTAGTGTTGCTCATTAATACAGACAAGTTATGTTTCTCATACTGATTTTCTCAGTATCCCCTCAGTTTTGTATTTAATGTGTCTGTCTTTCGTAATATGCTGATACATCGAACCATCTCGCCAGTTGATCAAAGCACTTGTTTGTAGGTGGGAAAGGCAAGTGAATAAATATATAACTCCTGGTTAGCTTATAATCATGGACTTGTGTAGATTAATTTAGACCAGTTGAGTGATAAGTTGATTAAAAAGAGGCAATAAGTTTTTGATGAGAGATAATTATTCAAACCGCACTCATTGTAATTTAGTCCCTTGATATTTATTTGGTATGTGTAGGATTGCCATTTTAATTAATTTTAGTGAACATAGTTAAGCCATGATACTGTTAAAACATTCGTTACACTAATCACTTTCATCTTTAATAGCTTAGCAACAAGCAGATGAAATTAGCTTTACATACATAAATCGCTATGATGTCTAGTCATTCCAAAAAGGGTCATGAAGTTATTTGTGATCTTGAATTTGGTGCACCCTATAACTACAATATTTATGCAGAAACTTTGACTTTTATTAATAACGTAGATAAAAAACACAACAAATCGTACTGTATAAAAGTAAGCTATAGAGGGACAACTATTTTCACTATCCATCTTAAATGCTTTGGTTTTCCTTTTTTAAATTAATATTAGTTAGTAGTTGATCAAATATTTTGTTTTCAGTAAGTTTAGGTGAAAAACCACTATCGTTATCACAATGGAAACCACTGACCAACTAATGATGATCTAGGTTCAAATCTCACCGGGAACATCAGTTCCTTCACGGTTGCAGATAAGCGCTGCTGGCGAGTACCAACTAGCACAAAACTCCAAGTCCAGGGTTTCCTGCCAACTAATTCCAATAGTTTAACAACAAAACAGTGCATGCGTTGTCTAGACTAGTGGTCACGTTAAAACCTGATCGATGGAATTTGACCACCACCAAAGATTGGACAAACATACCATTAGTCATCACTATTCCATGACTATTCAATGTACATGTTTATTTAAACATCCCTACATTAATTTTTGTATGAGGGTTAGGCATATTGTAAATGCTATAACTAAAGTGGTTGTAGTGCAGTTTGAAATTACAGGTTAGTGGAGTGATAACAAAGTAATTAAACCACTTAAATTCTGGTTAGGTGATATGGGTTTGCTGAGTAAAAACCAATATCATGTGTAGTCTTTAGTGATTAACTAATGTAAGTATATTATTTCAACAAGAGACCATCCGTGAACTGAATAGCTAACTCCACAGAGGTGACTACGGTTGTAACGTCTGGTAACAGGTTTTTAAACTACAGATTGTTGTATTCTGCAGCCGTCCAACTGCTCTGCTGATGTATGTACTTCTTATATACGTAACCAAATCAATTACCTGAGTGAGAAAACGGAAAATGGGTAAGATTCTTCTGTTGGCAAACTGAGTCTAAAGTACATGCACAACTTATAAATTTATGTCTGTTTTCTTTAAAATTAAGCCGGATTTTCAACCATGGGCGTATACATTTCCGCAGAAAGTTAAACCAAATCTAGACCAGCAACGAGCGTCCGCCAATATCTCCCATTTATTATTGCTCTACATCTAATTGGGCCAACTTACAACAAATAAACCTTCTTGGTGAGTACCAGCCATCACATACTTCGATACAAAATTTTCTGTCACTAGCCTTCGACTATTTAACATTAAATATTTTTGATGATATTATATTGACTATTTTGTAACTATTTTCTACTGGCTCTTTTCTCTGTATTTCCTAAATTTAGGCAAGAAGCAGTGCGAAATAGTTAGTTCATCGAACTTATCCACAGGTCTTTCGGGATTATGATATATCTGTTACCTAATATGCAGAATTTTTATTTATTAATCAGACAAAATAGAAAGTTTCTGATCGTGTGTACATGTTTGCTGACTATCATATTTCTTTACATAATTATTTCATTGTGGAATCCATATCCATCTGCAACAAGTCATCGACTTACATCTGTGAATTATTTAACAGGAAAAGAAATTTCCCATCAAGAAAAAAATGGAAATTTACTTCTAAATTCAGCATCTACTTTGCCATTTCTTATTGATGAATTAATGCGTATCAATCATTCTGTTCATGACGAGTTAATTGATTTACATCAAAGACGTAAAGAATTAGTGGACACTAATGCTGTCCTTCAAAATCAAGTAGAACGTTTACGATCTATTCTTGTAGAGCATTCAAGGCAAATAATACGTCTTCGAGTATGTTACTATCAAATAATTAAATATTTTCTCATTATTGAGGAGTAAAGTAATATGAATGAATAAGTATATCACTATTGTTAATTTTTGTGATTAACTGAGTGATCACTGGGTTTATGTATAAATGAATAATGTGTAAAGTAGGTGTTACTTATTGTGGTATTTATGAATATTTGGTCACAACTATCTCCGTTTAACTAAACAAGGTCAACGTTCTAAACGCAATGTTGTCCCTCTGTTTCTGTCTTTAATAGAATGTATTAATTACTGATTCCTTCGTAGATATGTCTTACGATAGATAATAACACATAAGTAGGGGCTAGAAATCTGTTTTTATTTCCAAGTTGTAAAAGCGATATTTTTCCGAAGTTCTGTGCTAGGTATATTGAGAATATTGAAAAAATTACATAACATTGATTTTGATTAATATTTATCTTATAGTTAGACTAGGAATAAGCATTTCCTCAGTGTCTGGATAACGCATATCCAAATCTAGCATCCAATGTCAGTACATTCCATATCAGGTCATAACCGAGTGAAGAAGCATGGAACTAAAAGTTTCGACTCAAATAGTATCTAATCACTTCAAATTTAACGCACAGAGCGTAAGAAGGAGTTCAATCTAATAAAACTTGTATCTTGAAGTGAAACGGGGTTCGGACCATAGACAAACCAGATGAAGGTCAGAATTGGAACTGTCAAGTTACTGTCGCATATCCCCGTATGTAATTCACAGCTGCTTCTGCTAATTCGAATTCAATATTCTTGTAAACCAAAGGAAAATAGTTGTTTGAAGTGACAGAAGTAAGTAAATTAGTATCGATCGTATTGATGTTTGTGGTTTATCGGTTACAAATAATTACAGCTTACGTAGTACATGCATCTCTGTAGGTTATTCTGTGCGTTGGGTTGTATTAACTGACGATCAGGGCTACAATGGATGAATTAAACTCATAATTAGTAGTATCATTAACTTTCATACTCAAAGTTTGTCCGATTACATATTTGCTTGGTAAGTGAGTTATATTCTGAAATCCTCTAGGATGATTTGTCACTCCTAAATAAACTTTGTATTTTAGGCCACCTTAGATTCGTACAAACAAACTCTTTCAGACAATACTGCATCGTCAGCTGTATTTTATTCCAAATGGCCAGTTGTTCATCTTAAATTAAATAATGAGAGCATAAAGTATCCTGTCATAAGCTCATCAAACGAATTATGCACCATAGAATCCTGTATCAATTGGAATCGGTGTCGATTTTTAAGATTTTTGAAGTTTTGCACTGATTATTATGGTTCAAATAATACTATGTCATTTGAACAATTACTTCAAAGTTCTCCACATTTTACTGAAAGATGTGATATTGAAAATACTGCATGTTTAAAATTGACTTTTGGTGTTGAAGGTGCTCAAAAATGTATACAGGAATCTGAACTGACGTCAGAAACATTACCAACTTGTATTGTCTTGTTTTTCAATGCATTGGAACTTGATCAAATATATCGGAAATATAATTATTCAACAAGTCATCTTAACTTTTTACTGGTCGCCTACTCATTTCCTAAAAATACATTTCGCCGAGGATTCGATTTCTTGTTGCCAATAAATTACGATATTTTATGTAAATACTCGAAGAAAATTTGTTCTATTTCTTCACCTTTGCGTTTACTACCAGGAAGACGTGCATTATTACTCAGCTTTAATATTGGGATATTGTCCAAAAGTCATCTTGCTGAAAATCACTCATCATTGGATAATTTAGTTATTGAACACTTGAAAAAGTTGGATAACGATAGTCATAAAAAGAATGAATCAACCTCTTTTATTTCCATATCAATTCATAAAAATATCAATGAACTTGAAAGTTGTTGGTCTAATAAATATAGAGAATTCCTTTCCCGAAATTCCCTATCTGATACTGATTGGTTTCCATGTGAAGATTCTTCATCAGTAAGTTACACTGTACAAGTCCATGTTTAGAGCTAATATTACCTTAGAATTAGAAAGTTTTGATTACATAAGTAATAAACCTAACCAACTAAAAATTGCTTTTGTAAGTTTTATATTGGTAGTATCTGCCCATAGATGTTTTTAGAAATTGGAAGTTTTGTTTGCTATTTGAACATAGACCACTTGTGTATTGTTAAAAACATCAGCGATCAATAATTAAAGTCAAATGTTCCAACATACTAGTCAGACATGTAAGAAAAGACATTGTTAACGAAAATCACATTAGTAAAAAACGAATTACTGGTGGTTTAAGCCGCTATTCAAACATTCTGCTAATTATTTCTGGAAACATTACAGCTGACGCATAATAACCCTTTAAATTTCAAACTGTCGATAAAAAACAAAATAGATCACTGATTTAGATTCACGAACTGTGTTTCAGAAAGCTACCATGCAGTTAAATAACTATAAGATAGTTTATTCTAATATACTGTAGGGTTTTAGCACTCGTTATGAACTAGTAAATCCCGTATTGGAATACACTCTAGCAACCTCATCATGAGTAACTGATGACCACTATTAGTCACTACGACAGATATCATCATTATTGCAGTGTACTATTTTACATTTAAGTTGTTGGATAGTTTCCTTATGTGTGCCGAGTTTTCCTGTTTTACAAAAATAGTTTTAAAAGAACGGAATCAGAAATTCTCAGTTTGCGCTTTCATTATTGCTAAAAGAAAATTAACATAAAAACCAAAGAAATCGAATATGACAGCAGACTAAACGTAAGAAATATAATTTATAATGAACAAATGAAATTTAGGTATAAAATGTTTGTAATTATAATAAAACTCAAAATCTGGGATAACATTTAGACTGAATACATCGGCGTTTTTCTGCCCTTGTTTTCTTATACATCTCATTTCACTACATTTAATGACTTTGTGAATTAATAATTTGTACTATTTTGCTCGGTCTTTGATCACTATAGAATCTATCCCTTCTATGGTACATAGCATGAGCATATTGGACATCCATTTCAAGTTAATCTTATTGAGTTAAAATTGTTTAATGTTATACCAAGAATTTTCTTCGGAATCATAACGAATGACTGTAATATAGTCCTATCCTCGTTTTCACAATGCCAGTTATCTTATTATTGATGAAGAAGACGTTGAATATAACATTTATTTGTTATCTATAATTGTATTTCTTGTTGTCTATATGCTTAAATGTTGATTCAATTCAGATAATATCTTGAAGTTTACATTTAATTATCTGTTTAAAGTACATTGTTATCTTTTACTTAATGGACAGTATATTATCAAAGTGATTAAGTTAGTCATCCATTCATTTTAATTTCTAGAATTAGTATTTTTAATGGTAAGTTAAAAGAGGGAGACGAATATTTCATTCATGTTTTTTTTTAATCCATGCACGTCATTATTTCCCCTTGTACCTTTTTTATTGTTTTCAATTGCTGAGTTTTGGTTAACTGCTAAACAAAAATGTGTTTCGGTAATTAACTGTAACGTTTAATTTTTTTTAAAGTACAGTGTAACTGTCTTTGTTTTAGTCATAAAATCTGAATTTGGCAACTAGATAAGGCTCTGTGTGTGTCTGTGCACTTGGGTAACAAAAATAATAAAGTTACCACTTTTATTCTTTAATATATATGCGATTATATTCAGGGTCTTGTAAGTTATACACTAGCGACACCATCTTATAAATATGCACAGGGATTTTATGTGTTTATAACAGATTTTCATGTATTGAATATTCGTATTTATGTTCTTCTTAAACTATCATTTCCAGGTTTTGTCCATATAATTAAATATCCATATACAGTTTTATATACTCGACTTAGATTAACATACATTGTTTTAATGTCCAACGAGATGAAGTTTATAATTTTTATCTAATATTTGGTATTCCAGTATTTTAATTAGTAAATCATCGTCTCAATAATATTGGACAGTTGGTTCTTCCCAAAGGATTTTGGTAGAAGTTGTATATACTCAGTATGTTCAACGAAACAAACGATTAATTCGTAAAGTTAAAAATGCTTTATTGATAAGGTTCTTTTGGAAAAGAAAACAACCCTACAGAGTCATACTACATCGCTGCTAAAAACCATCTTGTTCATGATGTAATCATAATTTATCAAGTTTTTAACTTTAATGAGTCTCGCTGAATATTTTTAGGATCACCAAGTGTAATGTTATTCTTTTTTATGTTCTCTATTTTATTCATCTTTTCTTTCTAAACGTAATTCCCCTCGCTTATAAGACAAAAGTTATGTATTGAATTTTGAATAATTCTAAATTTTTATGAGTATGCTTACGTTGGGCAGTCATGGTTATCCAACTTTTTAATGTAACCCGATGATGACGTATTAAATTAACTGTTTTGGTTGAAAGTACTGCGCTTGGATGATGATGCAATGTCCCTCCCCTATTCAGACCAAAGAACTACAGCTTATGCGTGATTCCAGTAGCTCGTTAGTTAAAAGACTCGTTTGGCAGGCGATGGGCCCTAGGTTCGAGTTCCACCCGAGATATTATATTTAACCCTCGAATGGTATGTTAAGTTCATAGACTGTGTTTTCTCTTGTTTTTTTATAGCACTTTAGTTAGAGTTGTATTTAAATAATCTTCAGCTTCTTCGCAAGTCAACCTTTGGATTAATAATGACTGGTGCAACGAACTCGTATTTGAGTTTAGGATTACGAATTCAATTGATTAACTGTTTAGCTAATGGTGCTATTCCTGTTTTTATTGGAAATAACGATATATATTCTGATGAAGCAATCAACTCGGAGTTATTGTCTAAAGTTATTATACACGTTCCTAAACCTCGAGTCGAGGAACTTCCAGCTTTACTTCAGTCTTTGCCTGAAGCGCATATCGTTGAGATCCGCCGACAGGTTAGTTCTACCACTAAAAAATTATTTAAATTAGAGAGTATTATGTCTTTTCATCTCGCTTCCTTTCCGTTTCACCTCCTCCACTTCATATCGTATTGTTCACGTACCTCACATCAATTACTAACAAGGATAGTATCTTACAAGTACATATTAGAATCAGGCATATTTCTACTGTGTATGCAATACTGCAAATATTAATGATTCAACTTTATTGTCTATGAATTTAGAGTTCTTAAAAAGACCATTTGACATATCCAGTCTTATATTTTAGTGACATGGTTGATTTATTATGGTTATTTCCTTCAACACCATAGGATTATCTACTTCCATCAAATGCTGCTTTTCTGCAGTACAGTTTTTCTTTATTTGGTTTGTCATATTCTTAAAATCAACTCACCAGCAAGATATAGATTTTTGTTGTTATCTCCAATTCACTTTTATGTTTGGTGGTGATACTATTGCACCTGTAAAATTAACGTAGATTAAGATTTGAATCAGTGACTTAATTGTTAAAAGTCGATGTTTTTGGTTTCCAAGTGACATGCTTAATAAATTTTATCCTTATAGCACATTTATTTATTTATTTTAACACACAGATATTGGTACAAGGAGGCATCAAACAGATATGCACCACATAAATCATTCAATTTGTGTGACGGCTGGGATACTGCCCGGGTGCTCAAAACGAACCAGGTGGTTCTCTTAGGGGACTATACTTGGGGCCTTTGACCTATAGGTCTGATCCGAAAGGTAGTAAAGCAACGTCAGGAGATGCAGTCCCATGGTAGCCGGTGACCGACGATTGGATCATACGCCATTTGTTCCCTCAAGATGCTGGAGCCCATGTGCACCATTGGTTTGGAATCAGGGTTCTCCAACTCCCCTAGATGGACTCTCCATGTCCACCAACCCGGTTAAAGCGCTTGACATTCGCTTTTCGTCCTCTCAATTTCGTAAACAACAATAGTGCCACGAGAAGGCAGTGAGTAGGGATTCCTTGGCAGACGCTTTATACGCGTGGTCATGTAAGAGCATTTCGAGAGGGAGAGCGGACTCCCCACTCTCTGCCGTATCAGGGCATTTAGAGGCCTTATAACACATAAATAGTTTGATTATTTGTTGTCTTGACTAACAAACATAAAAATAGATTTAGTAGATGCTTTATCTGTCCGTTGTCGGTTATTGACTTGTAAGATATAAATAATTTACTTCGTTGATCGTATACTTGTCAAGCATTCTGGATTTACTTAAAAATTTAGTACTAAACCCGGTAAAAAATACATTGGACGCCTTCATGTATACCAACAGTCAAGTGCTAAGCTGGTTTACAATCTCAATAAATCAGAAATTATCCGGTTGGTGATGTTTACCTTTTCAATCTAGATGATAATTAAGAAGTCTATTTTACTGCAAATAAGTTGACTATCTGTTTTTATGTGCTAAGTAACAGGAATTTCGAGACAAAATATTATACAATTTCAAAACAACGAAATCAGGGCATTAGATAATGAAAAAATGTTAGTTTTCTTTTATTGAAATCATGAATCGATCAATGTTAGACTACCATTGAAAAACATGGAAGCACTGGACGGCCTTTTCATTCTAGTATGAAACTCCTCAGCAGTGCACATCCACTATCCCACACGAAGGACTCAAACGCAGGGTCTTCAATCTCATGTGAGCGCTCAACCTCTAAATCACTGAGCCGGGATCAAACGGTGTTGATGTCCAACTTTAACCAATCCATGATATTGAGTGACCATCTTCGGGTGTGAGGCGGTTACCCACCCACTGCTGAGGAGTCCCATACTAGGAAGAAGCGGTTGTCCAGTGGTTTCAGGTTTTCAGTAGTGGCCTAAAATTGATCGGTTTATGTTTCAATATAAAATCAACAATCTCCACAACCTCTGAACCACCTTCATTACGTTTACTATATACGATTACTTAACTTTCCCTCGTCTTTTCTCTAAATGTCTTTTTTCAGGGCCAGATTTTATTTCAGCGTTACTTTAAAAATAAATCATCACAACTTACCACTTTATTGTTAGCTGTTAGTCGACGTCTTGGTTTTCCTCAACCTCCTGCTCCTCACTGGTCTAGTTTACCGGCTTATAAAGAATTTCACCCACCTAAACAGTATCCAATACATAAAGAGAATAATTTTCAAGTTGATTTAGATGATTTCCTCGGTCCAGTTGGACCACAACAATCTTCCATTAGTTATCAATCAAATTATACAGGTCCTGGTGGATCAGCTCGATTGGCTAGCGTATCTTTTTACGGTGGAATTAGTGAGATGGTTAATCCATTATGGTTATTTCCTTCAACACCATGGGAACCTCCACTTCCATCAGATGCTGCATTTGTACCATGTGAGTTTACTTGATATGATTTTGTTCTAATAATGAGTACTTTATACCTGTTTGAAAGTAGTTTTATTTTACTAGTAGACTACATTTTTAAAGATATTGAATAGCTCTGTGTGTAATTGCCCATTTATTACTAGTTGGTTTATTCATTCATATACAACCCAGATGCGACGTTGATAATGGTCGTCTGAATTTAGTTGAATTTAGGAAAATAGTAGGGACATAACATTCTCGCTAGGTGTCGATTGATCAGTTTAATTAGGTACAATCCAATCCACTTTATAGAAACGTAGTGTGATAATTTTTACGATGGCCCAATTAATTTGATATAGTTACTGGAATGACTAAAGCTGCACACCAAATGATTTGTTCACAGAATGAGCTTCTAAACACAAACGGAATCGATTCTTGAATACGTAATCATGCTAATCAACTGATTGAATAAGTGAGTACATCATATTAAGAAATCAAATCTATCACTGACAAGCAAAAATCTTGAATCGAATTAATTTGACTATGAGATACACTTGTCAGTTAACAAATGATCAAACAAGACTGAAAATAAATGTCACAAAACAGTCAATAATGACCAACTTGTAACTCCTTGTAACAGGACGTTTTAGTAAAATAATGGTTTAGTGGTTGAAGCATTCATCACAATTCATACACTTCAGTTTCTAATGTAAGAAATAAATACATTTTTGAATATTTTTCAATTATAAACTTAAAGTTTGTCTATATAAAGTTTTCTTAAAAAATTTAACTTAATCCGATAATAAAGTCAGAGTGCATACTTCTATAAATGATATAAAATTAGATAGTAAAATTAGTTTGGCCAAGCAGGAATATTGGGACAAATTGGTATAGATTTTTGTCGGTAAGAAACGTGCTAATATTGGTGGTATGAATGGAAATCCATCACGGTAGTGAACGGCTGTGCTTGTATGCTTTACGTCACGTTTTTGCAATTTATTGTGCAATAATGATGTGTGTCTTACTTTCGTTTACTTCTATACTACTGTCCGCATGTCATTCTTACTCTCTTGTCAAATTTTCATTTATGAAGTTGACATTTAGTGTAATATATACTAATTCATTACAACTTGCACTATTTTTCTATCTACTTTTACATTTATTTTGTAGATGGTTCTACAAATCATGGTTTAAGACCAATTAACCATACTATAAATCTTGCAGGATATGAATTCAATATGAATTTAGGTGGAATGTATCCATATGAACAGTTTACTAGTAAGTATCGAACTAATGAGCAGAGTTCTTATATATATGTATATAAGTGACACGGGATCAAATCCGTCAGGGAGCATCAGTTCCCTCAAGATTACAGGTACACCTTTCTGTCGAGTGCCAAGTAGCACGAAACCTGGGTCCAGGGTTTTCTGTTGACTACCTCCAACCACCATTTTATCTCAAAGGTAAAGTGTTTTTTTCAAGCTCTAGGTTAGATCTCTGTTGTTATCATGAATGCACATTACAGAGAGGTCCCATACTAGGACAAAACAGCCATCAAGTGCATTCTGTTTTTCATTGGTTGTTAAAATAAAATTATAGAGGTGTAAAAAATAATAAATAAGATGATATGATGAGCATTTATGAATAAAACAATGAGAATATAAGACATAAGTAAAGAGGGGAATGCAGTCATAATAATAATAATAATAATAATAATAATAATAATAATAATAATAATAATAATAATAATAATAATAATAATAGGATAATCAGAATAATTAAGGCCAAGGTAACGATAAGACGTACTTCATGTGTACGCATAGTTCTGGTTTAAGCTCCTAGATGGTAAGAGCTTCGGCTATTTTTAAGAGTTGGATACGAAGAAATCTGAGTAGATTTGAACGAATCATATAAACAACCTTAAAATAAATTTGTGGATCTGTAGAATGGTTATGGTCGATTAGGTGAAAAAATGATTTCCTACTGCTATCTTGGAAGTGTATTTGTCGCAGCATACATCACAGTTCATGAATTTTGTTTCCATAATCTTGATTTAGACATAGCCAAATATTAACACCTTATTTAGCTGTTAACACTGCAAGAGTCTATGGTCATCATAATATCATCAAACTGTCGTTAACGTAACACAAGGGGAAGTTTAAAATTTTAGACTTTCGAAATCTGCTTTTGAGTTATTTAAATAGTTTCTCATTCGTAATACCTTAGCTCTTGTTTATATGGTTTCTGCCGGCAAGATCAGTAAAGATTAGTGCTAATGATTTCACTGTCGAATTTCTGTCGGTTCATTTTAGTCGGGAGAAACTTATTTAGCGTTCGTTAACCATAAAAGTATTTCACTGAAATCGCGAACTGATCAAAGTTAAATAAGCATTGAAAACCTGGAAGCACTGGATGACCGTTTTTTCATAGGATGAGACTTCAGAAGTGCACATCCACGATTTCGTACGCGGAAATCGAGCCCAGGAAAGAGGTAGGATAAATTGTGTGATAACTTTAGAGGTTGTGAAGGATTTATATAAAATTGCTGCAATTAGAAATTGAATAGGATTTGAAGAGTGTAAATAAGAGAATTAAGTGAATGAAAACCTATGAATGAATTGAGGGTTTTTGTGACTTTGTTTATCTGACTCAACTCAGTCGACTCTCATAGACGTAGAAAAGGATGATCAATACAATAAAACTACTGTTCATTAGATGCCTCTTACAAGTAAGTCATTTTTATAATCTGATCAAGGATAATAAGAGCATACGAATGTTTAACCAATATGAAAATAACCTGACTAATGAAAGCCTGTTGGTCCACCATACATCAGCTAGTCAGTATTTGTTTTTCACTAGAATACTTTGCAGTACCTGTTTATTGATTCGTTGATTTATCTATTTTCTTTTCATTTTTTTATAGTTCTAATCCTTACTTATGATCGGTTTAATTTATTATGTCAAACGTTAGAAAGTTTTCTAAATCTTCCATATTTGCATTCAGTTTTGGTTATATGGAACAATCCTATTCCACCCAATCCTGATCTTAGCTGGCCACAATTACATGTTCCAATTAAAGTAAGTTAATTTTCAGTTAGTTTTTCATTCATTCTAAATTAAGTTTTATATGACATCATTGTTGATCATAATTTCCCATCATTTATAGTCAAACATTATAGTGTTAATTCCTTCAGAAAACATTAAGACTCTATGTTATCTTGGATGAAATATGAAAGTTTATTGGAATTATTTTCAATCTAGTCACAGTTTGTTTTGATAAAAAATTTCTATCTAGTTCGATTGATTTAATAATAACTTGTTCTAAACCATAATTGATCCGAATAAATATAATAACGAATTTTGAAAAGGTTTTGTGGAGATTAGTTTAATTCACAAGTTGTATTTATTATCCGTTCATTTAAACTACAACGGTCAGATCATTAATGACCTGCCTCAAAATGTTCCTGAAGTTTTAGTGAAAAGTTATGACTTGGAGTTCAGGCATGTCAGTTGTGATGCAGATGTCATCAATAATATTGGATTATTTTTGTCGCCAGATCACAAATTAATTGGAGTTGGAATTAGACCACTAGACGTTGATTTAATAGTTCTTATTCTTCTACTTTTGTCATAAGACTTAAAGATCCTGGATCAGATCCTTTGTAGGATCTTAGCTGGTTGCTACCGAGGAGTCCAATACTAGTACAAAACAGCCATTTCATGCTTCTTGATTTCAAACAATACCCCAACTGGAGTCAGTATGTGATGCATATAACCTATAATTAATAGCAAATGCGTTAATTTCCACAATTAATTACTTAGTTGTGGTTGTTTGCAGTAACGGTGTTTTTATTTGTCTATCAGAGTAACTTGTTTATAATGATTAAGAAATTAATTATCCTGGAAACGTTTTCATCGTTAACACAAATTTCAAAAAGAATATCAACTGTGTTTTTCTTAAGAGACATAAAACAGTATGAGGCAAAACATAAAAATACAAATTACACCTTCCTATTCCTTTTCCTACTAAATTCGATGACGCAACAGTATCACGATACATATATATGTATATAGTAACTCACTGATGACAATGGTGGATGTGTCGCTCAATTTCGTGGATTATTTGACGTTAGACATTAACACCGTTGAATGCCGGCCCAGTGGTCTAGTGGTTAAGCGCTCACGCGCGAGACTGATAGGTCCTGGGTTCGAATCTCGCGGGGGGGGCGAGATCATAGATGCACACTGCTGAGGAGTCGTGCAATAGGACGAAACGGCCGTCCAGTGCTTCCAGGTCTTCCATAGTGATCTAGCATCAACTGACTCATGATCTCAACCATTGAAATTAATAAATAGATGTTACAGTTGATTTCCAAAGGATTTTAATGCAGTTTTGTTCATGCTAATTATCATTTAGCATTTTCGAGTAATCTAATGAATTTGTCCAATTGCTCCTATGATTGTTTCACAGATGTTTGAAAGTGTTATATCTTTTTAGCGACTTACTTGTTCATATAAACAAAAATTACAACTGAACAATAACTTTTTTATCTGAAAATTTTGGTCAAATGTTAGTTTAAATTATTATCATTAATTTTAAATATAATTTAATGGTTCATGTTATTGTTTAAATTGACTGAATAACCAAATTTTTGTTCTTTCAAGTTTAATATCTCAAATGGCATTTTGATAATTCATTTTAAAGCCTAGAGGTTATATCGAGTTTATCGTGCTTGAAAGATTGCCACTTTTCATTGAACATTAAAAGCGAACAAATTATTTGTAGTAAACTAATTATTTCTCTTTCATAGGTTATCCTTAGCCAAAATAACAGTTTGAATAATCGATTTTTGCCTTATGATTTAATCGAAACTGATGCAATATTATCCATTGATGATGATATTCAACTACGTCATGATGAAATTGTTTTTGGATTTCGGTAAGTACAATAACACGTAAATCTCTCAGATTTTCAAGTATTAGTTCGATTTGGTTATTGAAAATTTTATAATTGAAATGGGTCATTGTTCTTAAACATTAATTGGTTTTCAAATAAAAGGATGATTGAGTCGTTTAAGTGCTTGATATAAAGCTATCGGTCAGTAAATTCAAGTTGTACTTCCCTTCTTTACTACTTACGTTTGAGCAGCTGGATAATATTTGTAACTCTCATACAATAAATGTGTTTCTAAAATCCTAGTACACAAACCTGTACTTCGTCTTTGAGATATTTAAAATGTTTTTATTAGTCAAACAAACAGTAAACATTATCTGTATGCAATGATTCTTCGAAGGAACTCCTAATCAGCATTTTTAAACAAACCGCTCGTCGTGAGGCCTGAAGTTCCTGAGTTCGACTCATGGGGAGTTTGGGGGTGTGGGATGCTATGAAATCCTGTAATGGTACGAAATGATGACTCAATACTTATTAATTATTCGATGATTTTTTTCTCTAACATCTGTTTGTATTGGAAACTATCATAAAATTTTGTAATTTACGCAAACATCTCTTGTTAATAATGTATGCTGTACTCATAAGTGGCTTATATTGGGAAGAATTTCAAAAGCGTAGTGAGGAGACGAGATCGATAAAATCAACTCTTCATCGTTTACTTGTTTCACATATATTATCGTTCACTACTATAAAAATATTCACTCTACGAATGACCCTTGACATTTCAGCGTTTGGCGTGAACATCGTGATCAGTTGGTTGGTTTCCCAGCACGAGCTCATTTTTGGAATGGTTCTGATAGTTCATGGTTTTATAACTCCGATTATATGTGTGAATTTTCAATGATTCTTACTGGAGCTGCATTTTTTCACAAGGTATTCCATTTTTACGGTCAATTTTTATAATATTTCATTAATAATCATAACAATAATAATAAAACTAAATTATGAGTATTAGCTGATTCAATAGTAGATTTGAGTTAAACTTCTCGAACTTAATAAAATTCTAATTTATGAATAAAATTGTGTGTTGAAATCATACCCGTTGCTGCACTTGTAACTATCAAAGTTTAGTCAGTTTATGTATGATTGATATTGGGAGTCTGTGTCTCTGTTTGTATAAAGGAGATTATGATTATGACTAGGACACAAGATAGAATAAACTATTATTCATTTGTCTTTTTATTCTAACAGTCGATTTATACAGAAATTTCTTTAATTTGGTGCTTTTTATATCAAAACTTGTCAATGCACTACCAAACATGTTGTCATACCTTCGTCTTATCTTAGTCAAACGATGATTAATTTTCAGTTTTTTTAAAGGCAGGTTTATAAATATGAACTTGATATATATATAGTGCTCAAATTTCTGACAACAACGGGAATCAACATTTTTACAACTGCCATACAAGATTCCGACTTCATCCGACAGAAGTCCCTAAGTGAGCCTGGTAGGTTTTTTTTACGGAGGACGCTCAATTGGAAAGTGAAGGCGGTTGTGTAATCCTTTAGTTCTCATCGACTATACTAGGCCTTATCCACTAAGGGAGGTGTTCACCTCTTTCACATAGTGTGCTTTGACACCAGAAGATTTCAGTTGTTTAGAATTAACCCAAATATATATATTGTGAATGTTGTATACTATATAAGTCGTTATTTATCTCACAATCAGTATTAAGGGTGATAATTTGGTGATAAAAACCTCCCTTCATTTAATACCGTCAGGAAAGATAAAGCAAAAATAGACCATTACTGTTTTATTTCGTTTTCCTCCACCCTCGGAACTTCAACATATAATCAGCTTATATTGAGAGGGAAACTTCATATAAAAATCACGAAGAATGTCAAGATGTTTCCAAAGAATAATATGGAGTATCTTTTGTATGCATTTAGACAGTCAGTGTAACATTCATGTTAGACGCTCTTAACTGTAAGGAAGAAAAACTTAAAGACCCAAATGTATCAATCGAGAGATTGACGGGTAATAAATATTTTGCGTTTCCCATAACTATGTTTTTAAGCTTTCATGTAATACTCTCACGACATTAAGTATATGCTGTTAATCATGTCTGCAACTACAGTCAAAGACAGCTCATTCCTTTGTTACTTTTATTGTCTTACTGACAGATAAACACTAATATAGATCCCAATGAGTTTTGAAGAAATGACAAGTTTTCTCTTGGTGGTTCATATTGCTTTTTTGTTAAAAGATCAGGTGATATGTTTAGTAATAATGTACAATCCATAGTTGTTTAGAGAGAATGTTAGTTGTTCGTTATCAAAATTACGCATTCTTTATTTTGTTTTAGTATTATACATTTGCTTATACATGGGAAATGTCTCCGGACATTCGTAATATGGTAGACAATTATTTCAATTGTGAAGATATAGCAATGAATTTTCTTCTAGCACATATAACTAGAAAACCCCCACTGAAGGTGAGTTTTCATTTAATCGCACTCATTTATTTTTCTGGTCCAACTTCTGTTGAGTCGTACAGTTCTTTTGTGTGGTTAATAACACTTCAAATGTAGAATACTAGTTGGCTGCTTATTGAGAGATGTATTGAGATATTTTATTTTTATTTTCACTTATAATAAGTTATACGTAACCTAACGCAAATCGCCTTTATATTGAACTAACTTGAAACATATTGAAAGCATGTTTAGTAAACGAATAAATATCCCATTATTCTCGACGCAAAGTAGAAATCATCTTCACATTAAAAGGTGTGCTGATCTCTATGTGTCTCGCTTCGTGTTTGCGAAATGTGAACATTGTCTTTTACATTTGAGATGGGATAAACGAATAACTTAGATGGAATTTTGTTCTCTGAGTTGGATAGTTTTTGTTGAAGCCTTTGTATGAATCTCTTGTGATCCCACAAAATCTTAATTTCATGTATGTACATATATATAAAATGCAAGTTAATTTACCTTTTTGGTGTAGGATATCTTTGACTTTACTATACTTTTTTACTTGCGAACTTGTTAGGTTACACTTCATTGGTCATTTGACTGCGTTTACTGTGGTTCAACTCTGCATGACCGTCCAGATCACTATGCTGCTCGTTCCCGCTGCATTAATTGGTTAACAAATCATTATGGATATAATCCTCTCATGTACAGTCAGTACAGAGCTGACTCTGTATTATTCAAAACACGTATTCCACTCGGCAAACAAAAGTGTTATAAATATATATAATACTTCGTATTACTTATCATATCAAGTCATATGTTACATTCTTGAGGATTGTCTAGATCTAGCTGCAGATTTTCCCCGCGTTTCGAGAGATCGCATATTGACGCAAGTCCCCACTGAGAACCAAAGTAATGCTTGTGTCATCTGACAGTCTCTTTTTTCTTATATGTTAAAATACGTTTCTATGCCGTCGTATAGGGATTTCGCTTCGAAGTGTCAGTGTAGGGTAAAAAGTAGGTTCACATTACGTTTTCTAGCCGCCATGCAGATAACTGAAAACTTGTGAAAGTATTTCAAATCCTGCTAACAAGCCAGTCATGTTTCATGAACACTGAAGTTTTATGCAATGAAAGTGAAAAGCAAAATAAAGTTATTTGAGTGGGAGTACAGCGATGACTGTTCACATAAATGATTTATATTGAGGAGACGTGGTTTATTAGACGTTATGTACCTCTTTTAGAGTTAAGTATTGGAGTCACCAAATACAACATTGAAGATCGGTCTGTCCATCTGCTCTTCTAGTCACTCAGTTTCCACCTCGTTTGTCCCAAGATTTTGCAAACTAATTCCATTCATCTTTATGAATTCAGTCTTAGGCTATTTTGTAAAAGCAGTGGTACAATGGATGCCTTGCGTGCCTACCAATTTCGATCGCAGAAACATGTGAGGCAAGTCGTGCTGATAGACCCGTTCCGGTAAGACATCTCCTGTTGACTTTGAAGAGATCCCCGATTTCTCCTTGGTAGGCATTGGTTTCTCTTCGAGTTGAGATAGGCTTGTTACCTACATAATACTTCGGTAAAACGTATTTTGGAAGCATCCAAGCCTCGTCCGGGAACTATGGAAGATGACCAGTGAGTGTTCTGCTTACTATACTATTATTTCTAAAGTCAAAGGACATAGTAGCAAAATAAGGTCAGGAAAACCCATAGTTCTTGTAATTCGGTTTGCAAATAAGTCTATCTTCATCCTCATGGGATGCTTTTAAGGATTCGGTGGACTGTGAAACATGACCACCGGGTAATTATATAATTGGTAAGCAATAACAAATGTGAATTTGGGATAGCGCAGGTCCATTTTGAGCCTGCGAGATAACTCAAACAGCCTAACGCTTATATTAAGCTCGAGTCAGAGTTTCTTCTGACGAGATCGAATAATCTCGTTCTAAGAACCGCTAATATAATACTAATCTGAGATTATTAGAGAATTAAAAGTCGATAGTCTAATACGATTTGAGACTTTCCAGGATAGCAAGAATGATGCATCCTGAAAGAAGGTTATTATTCAGTAAGTTATACTCTAAATCATATAGTGGGCGTTAGTGTCACAGAAGGAAACTGAACTCTTGCAATAGTGTAGATACCATTTTATCATTACAAAATACCCGGGGCCGCACCGGAACAACAAAAAGCTGGTCCAAAGATATTAATCAATTTTTAAAAGCTCATGGCAGGGATATTGGATCAATAACCTTGACTACATCGGTTAGTATTTCTGACATTTGTTCACTTTCTGGAAGTTTCAAGCTGTAAATAAAGGAGATAGGGTTCAAGAATTTTGTCCTTGCTGTCTGTCAGAAATGCTTCATCAGAAAATTGCGAAATAAGTCACGTGCCACACTTAAAGTTTAGTTGTGGAGGTATCACAACTGTAGCAGAAATGTTTTATGAAATGTTAATAATAGAGAAAAAATGTAATATCTTGTAAATTTGTAGTTCGTAATTTAGAACCGTAGAGGAAAAACTAGACATTTTTTCTATGATATGTAATGGTTTAATATCATTTCACGCTCTTAACAAAATCATACTGAATTACTGACTGATCACACTGAATAGCAAAATATGTCAAATGAACTTTTCCATGCCGGCCAGGTACTTTGGAACTGATTTGCTTTTACTGGACTCCCACGTTAGGAAAATGGTGACGTTCACAGAATATACATGAGACAGCGGGAAGAACCTCTGTCAGCCTTCTATGGAGATATATTCTGTGTAGAGTAAGACAAAAATGTTCGGAGTAAAAAGCTTTCAATCTGTCGGGGCTGATTCTTTCTGATCAGGCAGAGAAATTTCTAATTATATAGATTGGCATTAACACTTGTGGCTACGTTGGCATATTCAGTACATTGATGTAAAGTTTTGTGTTCGTTTCGTGATAAAGGTATGCTTGTAAAAATATGACCTACATATAATACTCAAGTTGGTACATGTGAATTTAGAATAATGTAAAGAAATATTACTAAAACCCTAAGTCTAGAACTTCAACAAGACACACTCAAATTCGAACTACGGGATATGAGTTTGCATTGTTACTGTAATAGGCTTGAACACGTGAAATATTTAATTGTACAGTGAACTGGTTGATCACTACACCACAACACATTGACTTTCTGTTTATTTGTCTATAATGTAGTCTGAATTTATTTGAAATTCTGTTAGGTTTTCTTGATTGTTCAGCACTCTGATTTTTATTTTCTTCATCCGTCTGAAATTCGGAATTATCTAGAGAGTCATTATTGATTGGGGAATCATCAAAATTGAGATTGGAACTATTTATTTGTAGTTCAGAATTAAAATTGCAATCACCAACTTCATTAATTTTCACTAAGTCTGTACATATCTGCCGTTAGTTGAATGATTATTTAAACCTAGGACATTTACTATCCGACTACCCATTCTTTGAATGGAAGGTTAGTAGTCATTTTGTTCATCAGATGATCATTTGAACTCGAGTTCGAAGTATTCGAGATTTAAGGGATTTATTCAGATTGTCATGAGTCCTTGAATATTCTGCATTAAGATAGTGAGTCGGGAAACTAGATGCATTTTTCTAACTACTAGATTAATTGGACTCAGTAACATGATAGCACTCGAATGCTTCGAAGTTCTTCATAGTCTGGAAGAAATTTCCTGCTAACCCGTCAAACTAGGGATATCGTGGAGTTTCAGTTAGTGAACCAGTTGTGGCTCTATATCTGACTGTGGTCAAATCATATTCTGATTTTTATCGAAATAAACATGCTGACAACCTTTATAGTTCATCGACTTAATTCGCGTTATGGAATAACGTAATAAAGTAAGTTAAATACGATAATGAATTTTGAATACGTACATGTTTCATACTCAGTATCCGGACAGACAATTTAAAGAAACGGGTCAGTATGTAGCTGCAAATGCTAGTGAGCCAACTCGATTTGGTAAAGTGTAACCCGATATTTATAATCAGATCGAGGATAAGTTACAGACGCGTAATGAATGGGACAAGCAATTAACACATATATCATGATGTTGTGGCTGACCACATTAGTTTTAATGGAGGCGCTCGGTCATGCATCCTCACCAGATCACGAGTGCGGATGCCATGCTCAACAACCCCTGCAATCGCTAACCAGATTAGATCAGACGATCTTCAGTATGTTGATGGCCTATCAAATATATCTTCGAACTTCCTCGCTTCTGTCTTTTGATTTCACTTGGTGGGTACGGTTCATATTAGAAGGTGTTACTGGTTAATGCGTCGTTAAACTCCAAAAACATGTGACATCTTCAATGTGGAACAGTTACGGTTAATAAGCGAGTAATCGGCGAGGTCAAAATGTGGATTGAGATTAATGAAGAAACTAATGCGTCCATTAGCTATAATAATCTATGTGGGCCGGATATTCAGTTGGCCAATACAAAGCTCCCTTACAGAAAATAGTATACTAATTTGAAAAAGATGCGAACTGTCCCTAATGTCCTCAACTCTATACGTCATTTCTGAACCAGAGCAGTTGACCGATTATGTGACATACCTGAATGGTATGTAGATTCTTCCTAGACGTAACTTAAAAATTTCGGGATATGACTATAATGATATAAAGTTGTCCAGGCGCTGTAAAAGTAGAACATTATTCGAACTCGATTAGAATGATGAACAGTAAGATAATAGATCTTCAGGAAATTAAGTTACTACTTCGTACCAGTTAATAATGAAGATGCAACAAGTATTTTGAGTTTGACAACGCCTTTGTACGTAACACCTTTATAATCGAGATATACTAATTCAGTCAAACCAGGTATCAAAAATGAAGGAGTCCGAATACTTGTTTGGAAAGCTATCGATAACCATTGGGTCCGAGGTGGATGTCAGTTGTAAGGGATGCTTAGCATGATGTACCCAAATGTGATCTAGTTCATATGCATAACCGAGCGCTTTCAGCTAGGGCGTGCTTTGTACAAATAATGAGGTCAGCTTCAATGTCGAAGACTCACAGAGTTATTTGATTCGGGGGTTTGTTTACTGCAAGAACAACATCCGTCCATTATGATGAATTCAAATATAGTCTGATCAATACATTTTAAATTATCAGTATAAATAAAACTCAAACTTCAGAGAAAATCCCTAGCGCCAACCTTACGCAAAGAACACCTGTAGGCTGTTATAAACCAGACAACTGAAACAATGTATTATTTGTGATGAAAATCATTTGGAACCAATAAACTAGACAGTCAAGCAACCAAACCTCCATGTTTTGAAGAATCCGCGAATAAAACTATAAGCCTGTTTAACCCGAGTTCTTGCTCCTCAAATTTTTAAGTTAAACGTGGGAGTATCAGTGATTCGTCAGTCTTAGAAAAATAACCGTACATAAAAAATCTTACTTGGAGGTATTAGTGACCTGTTGTGGCTTAAAACAGAAACTCGATATACGTAGACTTCAATCCACAAATATTTTGTACATTTTTACCTAAAAATTGCTGGAAGGTTTTACGAACGGGAAGTTTACTTGCAAGATAATTTGCATTTCCTGACCCTTTGCTGCGTCTTTACTTAACAAAAGTACCGTTTTTCGTCCAAATAATCTGTCCTGAGCTAAACGTCCGGTAGATTATTTTTCTTTATTAAACTTGGGGTATCTGAATGCAACGGTTGTCCCCAAAACCTGTATGGGCGATTGAATCCCCATTAACAAATTCAAAAAGGACCGACTGTCACCGTATAAGAAGCAGAACTCCCCTGGTATTGTAATGTTGTTGCACATACAGGCGATTCAAACAAGTGAAAAACATATGCCCAAGGGTAATAATGGAAGACAGGCCACAGTACCAGATAAAGCTGATCAATAAATTTGTCTCCAATCCGAAGAACTTATTACATCATGCAGCCTCTCTTCGACAAAACGAAATCGGAGTTTCCTTGCCGCTAGTTGCTAATGGTCGACCAACAACAATGGTGACGCCACTGACCTCCGGCTGAACAGTACTCTCAACATTTAAACCGACCCACACTAAGTGAATTAATGAAAGCCTCACCTATCAATCCACAGGACCCTTAAACATTATGGAGTCCCCAACATGCGACGATCTGCACGACCACTTACTATCCATAAACTTCTCGTCACTCAAACAGCACGGTTTCATAAAAGCTCAAGCCTGTGTAACCAAACTGACAACTGTGGTGGACAGGTGCACAACCATTCTTGATCATAAGGAGAAGATTGGTGTCATGTACATCGACTTTCAAAAGCTTTCGATAGGGTCAACCACATATGTCTTATCAGGAAGATAATACGACTAAGTGCCAAATCACCTTCAATTGATTGGCTCACTTCATATCTAAAAATAGACATTTTAAGGTGAGTGCTAACTTTACCTTCTCTTAAACGATGGAATGTCCTAGTGGGGTCTGCACGGTTCGTTACTAGGACCTCATCTTTTCTGATCCATATAAATGATCTTCCACGGCAGATATTATCAGATTTATTACTTACAGCTGTCGATGTGAAAATTTGGAGCGAAGTGTGCAATCAAGAAGAGAGACTGAAATTTTAGGGGATCTGACTCGACTTTAATGTCTGGAAGATGACAACGAACTTATCTTTAACACTTCAAAGTGCAGAGTAGTTCATCTGAGACATCTTGCAGACCGCAGCTACAACATAGGCAACTCTTCTCTAGAGGTGTCGGAACTTGAAAAACACCTAGGAGTGTTGGCAGCGTTTGATCCGAAGTCTTACGCCGAATACAACAGTAATTTCTTCCGAGTAAACATTGCACTGGAAACGTTGAAGTTCATTTTCGACCAATCCGGCGAAAGAACATTCCGTACATGCTTAAACAGTTTGATTCTTCTACATTTAGAGTACGTGAACGCCATTTTTCCTCCCTCACTTCAAAAGAATAAGGACATTCTGTAGCACATCGAACAGTGAGCCACCAACTCATTTCGAGAACTCAAATTCAAGTTTTATGGAGAACGCTTTTAATCACTGGACATTTACCCATTAGAGTACAGGTGTCTTATAGGTGACATTCAAATGACTTACACATTCTAAATACCTCTGGACCATCCTCTTGAACCCGTAGTTAGGCTTAGTCTCAACTCAAACATTTGGTTTAATACCCAGAATCTGGAGACATAACACAGCAAACGAACTATAGACACACCCTCTACTCTCCACGCTGGAATTCGCTGAAGACAGAGCTAGAATAAGCGACTTCGTCAGAGTCCTTGAAAAGGAAACTTGACGTTTTCTTAAGGACTAAAGATGGTATCTTACTATGATTTTCCAGTTTCGTTTTCTCGTTTTCTCGACAATATACGTAGGTTCCTGACTGGAGGCCTCGGGTGTTTATGTGTCTTATCTTTCCGCTTACTCCAGTAGTAATAATCCCAGAGGTCATTGCAAGAAGGTTCACAAATTGCGATCTTATAAACTCAAGGTAGGGTTCCGTTTTTCGTATCGAGTATTTAATGATTGGAACGCCTTATCCGAACAAGTGGTATCATCCATATCAGTGAACATTTTCAAGGAGGAAATGGTCTTTCACTCGAAGGCAATCTGTCAGGATTAACACTGGTTCAGCCACCCACGAGTTGCGCTAATCAGTTTTCATGTTTCTTTTCGTGTGTGTTTTATGGCATGGGCACTGCCGTAAGCCAGGGGTCTTCGCGCACATATTACATATTGTTGTGGATTTATTGTGTTGTTACTTAACAGCATTTTTTCCATCACACATCAATTTTCGTAATGCTTGTGCTTACCAGTGGAGAGTTTAGCTTTCATAGCTTTGGCATCAGCAGCGGCAACCTACTTACTAGTTCTCTCCTAAATACTTTCTATAACTTCATCTGTTGACTGAAAGTTCAATATAGCTCAATATAGTTCAATATAGTTCAATCAAGCTTCCGAATCGTTTGTTCAGCATAATACGTTGAAACGCCTCGCTTACGTCCACTGAAATTTCACTTGAGCATGAAGCACAAAAAAGTTTATTCCATGAAAAAAAAACCAACTGAAAGAATTACAACAAATATTTAAGACATACCGTTGAGTTGACATTTCGTCTTAACTTCTTTGTATAACAGCGACTCACAAAAACTCTGAGTATCTATAACTTTTAAAGTTATCTTATCGTTCTTACGTTGTTTTCTGGATCTTATCAACAAATTATGTAAAGGTGTTGACGGTTACTACAGCAGTTGGGATCACAGATCAAGTTACTAAGCAACAGCAGAGCTAACGTGTACACTACAAAAGAGAATGCTAAATAAATGCTCTGTGCTTTTTCATTCAGCAAAAGATGACTTGTATATCGAAAAACTTAATACTCAAACGACACAACACACCCACGGCAATAGAAATACGGAATGACCACCTCTAGTCAGGCCGTTCAAGGTCGTTGAAACGAAACGGCGGGCGGATTTGAAGTAGCTTATCTTTTTCCCTTGCCGTGTTTTATTCATATTCACTGAACATTTCTCTTTGAGGTAATTTTATTCATTCTACCGTATTCGTGTTTAGTTGACCGTTTGATCAACACTTTTGGGGGTTGCCGAGCAAGTCAGTAACCGATAAAGTCCACATATTCATGGGATAAATATGTATTGCTAGGGATGGTTCTCACGTTTCGCACAATTTCCTCTTAAAAATACCTTATAAATAACACTGAAAGATTTGGACTTTAAACTTTATACCAGCACCTGCCACAGGATATTCTGTGGTGTGTATATAAAGTTGTTCTAAGATATCCCAGAACCCATATGGGTTCTGACCGATATTGGAAAAAACTTAGGCTCTTTTCATATGCACGCTTTTCACTAAGTGATTTTTCAAACATTCACATTATTTTGATGACAGTAAGTTAGTCTAATGAACATTTTGCGTAGGTGTGGTGATGGACACAACTAAATATAACTTGGTATCCAAACACTAAACTCACTCTTCTTTATTATATTGCTCAATGGAAGCTATATATTTTCCTTAAAGTTGCTCCTACTTGAAATTATACATACAAGTTTGTATCAGTCAGTGCGTGTATGCACATATACTTTTACACGAGCTTAAAAATATACACATGAACCAACATGTCCATCTACGACTCCTACTGTTTTTCTAATCATTTTCCTGTTTAATAGTACGTATTTGATTGTCCAGCTGTGTACTGGTGCAGTCTGTATTTCGTTTCACTACAATATACCATCTAGAAAGCAAGTAACCAATTTAGTTTGCAAAATTCGTATTGATAAACGAATATATGCTGTCACTGTTTTCAGCCATGCTGTTACATTCTTTGGTTAGGTTAATCGAACTAGGGGTAAGTGTAGTTAAATTGAGATATCTCCCATTTCCCATGGTATTTCTATCATTTGGTTTCACAATTTCCCTTTTCTTATAGCATCCAGTAAGTTAAGGTACTTCCCATTCAGCTAGAAAATTTCACTCTTGATCCTTGCTCCGTGTGCTGCTTAAATAGCTGAATAGTACAGTAAATCCACACAGTATATTCCAAAGGGAAGCACACGAGCCTGTGTTTGATAAATGAGTCATATTTTCGACTAAATGTCCTGATACGTGCTAGTTTTTGATGTTTGCATTATTTTGAAGTGTTTTTTTCAGCTTTAGTTTATAGAAATTCATGTAAGTAAATGAGAGCTAGCGCTAGTGCCTATACTACCGCACCGTCTAATCCACCATCTGTTCATCATGAACCAAACTCCAGTGTCTTCAGAAACTCTATAGAACATTCACAGAGCCTTACTTCTAATAACAGCATAGTTAACACTGTTTCATCACTATCAAGAGGTAAGGTTTAGTTATATTGCTTGATTTCTAACTTGTTTTCTAGATAGACCTAGTAATGAGGCAGGACCCATGGAATCATATGATAGTCTTAACCTGCAGAACCGTTTGGAAAATTTTAAACATTGGAGTGTAACAACATTCAAATGTACAAAACAAATGATTGAAGAAAAACTTGGGACAGCAAGTGTAACTTGTGATCAAGAATTAGAGGATCGAATTTCCATGTTTAGGTTAGTTCGAAAAGTGTTTAGCGGGTGATATGCAGTTATTTAATTTACAAACATGCATACCACACAAATGATTTAAATTTTTTAATTTCCATACATATTGTTTTAAAGTAAATCCTAGTAGCCCTATTAACTAATCGACACCAAATTACCATGCGACACTTCCCTGCATATGTGATCGGTAAAATTAAGGTGTTGCAGTGCTTATTTCTATTTATAAAGGATATTCATTCAAACTGCTAAAAGAATGAATATAAAATAATGAGATCAACTTTTTAGATCACATTGTTTTTATTGTGTGTTATGGTTTAATTTATTAAAATGAGACACCACATTGCATGGCTCATAATTAATCACAATGGAGTAGGTGTATACACACTGTCTTCCCTTAAGCCATGAGATCAAAATTACTTCATACCTTTCTTCCTCCTTGTATCATATCCTTATATGAAATTGTTTTCGCTTCTGTTACCGTTGAAGTAACTGCTTCTATGAATTTGGTGTTCATCTTGTTGTGCTAATGAGGTATGGCAGCTTGTGCTGTTGCATATCTGTAGCTGACCGATTAACTGACTTGAGTACTACTTCCTCACGTGCTTTCGAAAGATCTAACTTCCTGTTTTCAAATTATTAATCATTGTTGAACTAACATTATTCCTGTTAAAATGTATTTGAAACGATTTTACTCTTAACAATGAAAACCAAACGCTGTTGTGAATGTAATCTGAACAAAGGTATTAGCGTTTTGCGTGAGATGTTTTGAATCTGTAATTCATTGACTGGAAATGTCAATGATAAAAGTCTTAGCGTAAACATACGTTTTATGAGAACATAGTCTATTCCGAAGGTAAAATTTTAGAATTCAAGGTAGGAACCAGTGTTTCAAATTCATTCAGGCTCATCAGATAAATATATAACTTTTGACCGCTTTTAAACATACCGCATTGAATATGCAAGCATTTAGGCTAACGTGTGTGTTAAAAATAAAACTTAGTTACTTTTAACGAAAGACGAATCATGTATTATCTTGTTGTAGTGACTTTATTGTTTTTTTTCAGCTGGTGCACGTCATTTCTGGTTTTGATAGAAAATAAAGTGTAAAATATTTACTGTGTAGAAACTATATCATACTTAAGTGATTTCATAAGTGAAATCACATGTACCTCCTTTAATCTGGCTTTATTGTAAAATGACGTCTAACAGAATAGTGTTCAGTTCGTAAAAAATATTGTATAGCAGAAAACAAAGTTGTTTACGCAAAGTATAAGTGGGTTACTGAGGGGATTGTCACTAGGACTTTCACAATGTTGTCTTGTGACATCGATGAGGTAGTTCAGCCAATAAGAGATGCTTAGAGAGTATTTTTGTCTTGTCCACCCACACATACATAATATCAACTCACCAACATATTCAACAACTAACAACTTTTCCGAAACTATTAACCTGTTCTTTCATCTTTCTATGTTGATATGATGTTAGATCTTGGGGGGATATATATGTCCTAGATTATACGTTGCATATGACTGACTATTAAGGGAATATGACTTGTTTTTGATATTCAAAATACTTACCTAATATTTCGGGTTGTAGTAATATCCGAACAAAAAAACTTTTAAATAGAGTCTTCAGAGCCAATATGAATAGTATTATGAACAGACTGCGCCATTGTTATAGTAGGGTCTTTAGTTGAGTAAAATCTTTCAAGTAAAATTAGGATTTTTTACCCTAAGGTTGAGGTGAAAAATTCTTTCATTTTAGGTTTTGTTTGCTAGGAGTTTTATAAACATGTAATGCGTAAGATCTACTTAATCAGTGTACTTCAATATATGCAAGGGACAAACATAACCTACCATCACTAGTTTTCTAATAGTATTGATAATTATTACATATATTGTTTTCGACGGGTTTTCTTGCTTGTTATTGAACATCATATTTAAGAATCATTAAATTATGAAAATCTATTCTTGTGAGGGAAGGTGAAATTCCGTTTTTCAGTTAAAATGCTTTCAACATCCTCTGTACGAATATTAAACGGCTGACGTTTCTCCGAGCTTTCTAACCAGTAGATATTGGTGTGTAGTATTCTTTTCTTTTATCTTTGTTTCGATATAGAAATATGCATCAACAGTATAAAATATTGCATAACCTCGCTGAAAAGTTAGCTAATAGTTTTCGTGAAACTATTCATCATCAACGTGCATTTACGAGTCATATGACTGCTCTAATTGTACAGCAACCTGATTTAAGCAGTGAATTCACTTATAATACAGAAACCCAACGTATTGTTATATCAAATGGAGAAAAATTATTGGGTATGTATTATGTGTACTTTTTGGCTTGATTTCACGTTTTATTTAATTTTTCTTTGAGATTTTTCTCATGAGCTTACTTCAGATAGAAAACAGCTGTTTTTCTCTGGTATAGGACACTTTAATGCCTTTGCACGATCTCTACAGATGTCAAACCCAAGAATTTTAGGTCTCACGATATGCCTATTACATTTAGATTATCAAAATAAAATCCAATCTAAAGGTAAGGCGCATTTGGGAGGGAGGATTGATCGCGTTCTTTCATTATATGACTTGAATTAGGTAGTGAATAATTGGTTCATGTACTCGGCTTTCTAGCAGAGCAATGTTATGCCAGCCATTACAAGTGTGGTTCAAAGCTGACCATATAAATATCCACTTAGTAAACGAGATACACTTGTTATTATTTTTTTTATATATTGTCTTGATTATTGAGGGTCATAAAAATCAAATTGGTCATTACTAGTACACCAAAAGACATAATATCTTAATGGCTCATAAAAAACTAATGGAACACTTCTGTTTTATTTAAGTAACTAACATCAATCAAGCCAGTGGTACTATAAACCAACTTATCTTAATGGTTATATATTTCCATTAGTATGGAAAGCACTTACTTCTTGGGTACCAACTAGACCAGTTTTCAAAGCGATTTTCAGAAGAAATGCAGGTTTTTATTTTCCTATAGTTGAAAAGACAATTTTCAAGTATGAATGTTTAATTCGCGTTATTAAATGACTATACTTTAAGTTGATAAAATGTCCCTAAAATTAGTTAAAGTGGTGGAATAGATTACTTTTTGGTGTAAGTTAAGATAACTGGATTATTGTTCATCATAAATCAATGTTGCAGTGTTAATCCTGTTACTATTTAACTATTGTTGTTTGAAAGTTCTTTAATTCTAGCATTAAAGCTACAGAAAAGATTTTCTTCGGATTATGTAATAGTAAATTCTTGAAGTTACTATATTTTAATCTAATCGTTTCTTAACTTTGTCTGACTCTATACCCCTATGTGACAAATTTCTTGTTTATCTATTTATTTAAACACAAATACTGGTACAAAGATTTGTAGTTCATGTGGATGATTTTGATGGAGTTTTGTTCTCTGAACTGGATGGTTTGGTCGTGGAGTTTTCATCGTTCTTCTGAACATCATCAGCACAAACTCCAGGTAGCCAATCAAGATCGAGGTTTATAGGACAAGCTGTGAGTCATATGTGGAGAAATTCGGACACTTCACTTCTATCTGGTTTGTGCTGATGATATTGTTCAGAAGAATGATGAAAGCTCCACGATCACACTATCCAGCTCAGTGAATAAAACTCCACCAAAAACACTGTTACAAAAAGGAATCAAAATATGTGTGCGCCACACAATAGCAATGAGACTCTGAAGAGATAGAAAAACGAAGGTGATTATTATAAAAGAGAAAGAAATCAATGGTTTTAATATGAACGTGGAAAAAGTAGTGGAAGGAGCGTTTCATTAAGAAAATACGACCAAAAAGGATTCTTTCAGTCAAGGAAGTTGTTCTTATATGAAGATGGTAAAAGAATGTTACAACAGGACGTCTAATAACGTCTTAAGCCACAAGGTTGCTCTATCTCTGGGACCTCAACCAAGGGATCGTGAAGGACCAGCAGAAGTCAGTCCTGCACAGCTTTCTCTCATACCACGACACGATGTCATGCACTGACCACCTCTCCGCTTTTTCTAACAATTATCTGACCTACAGCCTTTGTTTATACATAAAACAAAGTGCATAACCATGTTATGTTTGCATTTCATTAATCGTTTGTAGAGTTCTGTTTTATACGATGAGTGTGTACTTGCTGAATCTCTACAAACCCATTCTGTGAATTAGTGCAAGCCTTATGGTGTTAAGAAGACTTCCTTAACACTACACTAAGTTGATTAATTTATTATAACAATTAAGCACGCACATAATAGTGGCTTCTGGTTTCATTCCTAACCTGTTTACCGTATAATCGAAATAGTTTTCGTTATAACATCCGAATTGCTTCAGTCGATTGTAATTGATGTCAGTGTCATTCTGAAGAAATGTAGTGTAGTAATCAATATTTGTCTGACTGTCTCAATGGATTTGAAATTTAGCCAGATGACGGTTATGCAGTAAAATGCGATTATTGGCACAAGTAACTTCTAAGTAACGTGATATCGAAAGATACTACGATTAGCTATCGTAGTGCGTTTTCTTGTTAGCCAATGCAATAATATATTTATGTCAGATGTTTATCGAACATATCATTATACAATTATTTCAACTTTTCTAATTTCACGTATCCATCTGTCACTTGTGGGAAATTCGCTATCTTTAAGACAGTCAGTCCCTTCTATAAATTAAAAGAATGCAAAAAGACCGAGGTAATCCTAAAAATGTATTGTACAGATATATCACATTTTTTCAAACCAGCGTCGTCTTCTCATCATCCTTTCAAAGTATACTATCCACTTGCTGATGTCGGTATTTAGTGTGATTTACTTATTAAGTTCCTCTCTATCTTCTTAAAGTACAAAATTCACTAATCTTTTTATTCATTTATGGTATTTATTTTGTTTCAATCCTTGTAGCATCATTAAACCATTTTGTTAATTCTTTGAACACACTGGTTAGTCATACATTTGAAGATACATGGATTACTGTTTCTAGTATGCAGTCGGCTCGTATACAATATGATGCTTATCGTAACGAAATGAACCAAACAAAAAGTAAAAAACCTAATGTTAATAATAATTCTGACACTGTCACACCCACTACGATTACAGTGTCAGGGAACTCATTTGCCACTGACTTGAGTCACGATAATCATAATTTACAATCACGATTAGATGCAGCTTGTGAACGGTATTCCCAATTGAGAAAAGCTGTTCTATGTAAATTGGAATTTTTACAAGAAAACAGGGTGAGTTTATTAAATCTAAAATTGTACATTTAACAGCAAAACTATGCACGCATAGTTTCCATTCGATAGTAATCACTATAGGTGTAGAACTTTGGAAGTAATCAAGTCTTGTAAACTGTTAGTTTTTTCGAAAGGTGCGAGATGTCAGTACGTTACTAATATGACATTAAACCTATGGCAATTAGATAAATTGAACAACTGATGCACAATAGGACTTCGACTACGACGCATCCAACCTTTTAAGGAACCAACTGAATCTCAACTGTTGAAGAGATTACGTGCTTCAACATCAATTTATTTCGAAGATAATCGCCCTATTATTAAGAGGCTAACTGGAATGTATAGGGTCCCGCTGTCATTATTTTACGTTTGAGTAATTTAGCTATACGCTTATTTATATTAAAGGTGAATATTTTTTTAGTAGTTTTCGTACGATGAAATATATCAGAGGACCGAACTCATTCAAAACATCATAATCCATTCTATTTTTAAAACATTAGGTGTGTCTATATCTCTCAATAGACACTTAACCTTTACCTACTTGGGAGGAATGGCAAATACCACCTGGGTTTAATTACCAAGTCACTGATCCGCTAAAAGTTTTCAATGAACACTTTTGTTAACTAATTTAGAAGCATAAGCCTATGAAACAAACAGACAGTAGTCCTTTTTAATAAGAACCATAATATCTATAATACTTAAGCATCTGTTCTGAGTGATTCACTCTGTTTCTTTGTGATGATGGTAAGGTATTCGGTGTCAAAGTGCCATAATTCTCCTGAGAAATTCTCTTCGGAGAAATTTTACGGGTTAGTTGTGAACTAATATTTCAATTATTTCATGCACGCAATATAGTGTTGCGCAAAACATATTAAACTATGCATTTTGTGACCCGGCTGTAAACCACGCTTCTCAATACAAAGGGTTATGATACAGTCTACGTGTTCAAACTGAAACAAAGGTAAGGTATCAAAACTGCAAGCTAATTAGTAAACGATAACTGATTTAGGCAGTCTCCATTTTTAAATGGGTGCCATCAGTCGTTTTCTATGTAATTTATCTACCACTAAGATTAATGATATTGGTTCGATATTTTCAATCTCTACTTGTTTCATTTTCATATTTACACTTCGTTTGTTATTAGTTGCGTGTTATGCAACACCAACTAGTGCTTTTGCAAAATGCAACATCAGCATTCTTCTCTGGAAATAATCAACAATTGGATCAAATTTTAAACCAGTATAAAATCAAATTGTCAACTACACAAAATGGGATTAGCCATTAACTAGTTTTCTTTTTTTATTTGTTACTGTTTCACTTGCATTTCCTTTATATAATATGAAATAAACACATATGATTAAGTTTTGTCTTGTGTGTGCTGTGCGCCCATTAAGTGACATACATACATACAAATGAGCTGGTAATATTTCATTCGACAGATCATTTTCAACCCATATATGTACTTACACACAAGTGCAAAATTTGTGACTTAGGTGATACTAATTATGGACATTTACAGTGTTTTGAATTTCGAACTTTTTAATTATTCTTACTGTTTTTTATTTGGTAATGTGTTATTCCGTTTGTATTTACTGTTTATGACGTTGTTGCATATCTTGAAAAATCTATATTTACATTTAAGTAGTAAATGTTTGTGATTTTGTACAACTGCTAACCGAAAATGGCAACCAGTAATTCTTATTTTCATGGCAGAGAATTTGAGCCGCGTTTCCCAAGGGTTAATGTAGCTACATAGGTGGAACTGAGCTCGAATCTTAGTTACCGTAACCGCTAAGTTATCTATTTGACTTATCCATCTAGTAACAACCCAGGAGTCCCGACTGCCTTGTGTGACGCGAAGCACAATCAGATTGAAAAGAATGTGATAGCTGTGGATCCATACCCAACGCATTGAAAACGATGAATTTAATCGTATCCGTGGTCTGTACAGTATAGTGTGCTTTTTAATATCTGTGTATACTCTTAGTCATGGGATATGTTCAAGACCCACTAAAGTGCACTAGACGGTCGTTCTGTCCCTGCACGTGGTCGAACCAAAGACATTGAGCACTATACTTCTGGGTCATCCGGGTCACCATTTCCCGTTTCAGTCGAGTTTTTATATATGAAGTAGATCTCCAAAACGGCAAACCACCAACTAAACAATCGTACCATCAGCAACGACTGACTACACAATGTATTTTAGTAAACTTTAACGTTACGTAACCGGTGAAATTTAACCATGTTAGTGGTGAGACATTGTGCACGGATGAGAGTGAACGACGAGCATAATATGCCTATTTGGATTCCAACTGTTTGCATACTTCTAATTGATCATGCAGAAGTTGATCTATAGTGACTCTGCTACCATATTTCCAAATGCACCACGTAAAACCACTAATATATATATATATATATATATATATATATATATATATATATATATTAGTGGTTTTACGTGGTGCATATATATACAAGGATAAGACAATTTCATGATTTATCGGGACCAGATTCACAGTACTAGTTTATTTAGTATCGTTCCCATAAAACAATGCAACCAAATATGACCACCTAAAGACCAGAACAATAAATACACTAAATAAAATCCAGGTGCCTTAATACTGCCGAATATTGCGGTTTAATAGCTAAGAAAAAGTTCTAATGTTAATTCATACTCTTAATGCAACTAGATAAATCAAAATGAATATGAAATGCATATAAGTCCTTAAATCGAACCGACTTCAAGGTTAGTTTCTTTCTCAGTACCATATAACGGCTGCTGGGTATCTTAGATCGAACTAAATTATCCAAGACGAAAAATCCTGATTCCTTGTTTTACCAATCACAGTCTGAGTTATAGACTAAACTTAAAACAAAAGATGCATTTAGGATCCAAGATGCTTCTGAAAGAGTATATTTAATGGTAAAATACATTTAGATGGGTGGTAGTGAACGTGTTTCTTTTTGTTGAGATGATATCGATTGCATTTGGCTAAAATGTAAGAATGTGACGATGATGAACCACTTGTCTAGTGTGATATATGTACAAATAAATTGATATCTTCAGTCTGTTTCCGTGAGAAGAGCTATTAGTATCCTGATTCTTGTACAAAATGGCCATGTGCAATAACAGGTCATAAGTTGAGTACATTTTCAAATACTTAAATTACAACGACACCATCAGATAAACATTTAAACCGTGTTGGAAAGCTTGGTAAGGTTTATATGGAAACGGGTGTATAACTGACTATAATTAATTGAATTTGAAATTCATTGACTACTGTGTTCCTTCATTTTACACAGAAAGACACTTAACAAACATGGAGAGACAAGTAACCTAGTTGTGATAAAAAAATATTTTTTAGAAATTCCACAAGTTGAAATCATGAGTCAATTGAAGCTAGACCACCATGGTAAACCTGGAAGCACTGGACGGCCGTTTCGTCCTGGTATGGGACTCCTTAGCAGTGTGCATCCACGACCCCGCACCTCGCGGGATTCGAACCCAGAACCTACTGGTTTCGCGCGCGAGCACTTAACCATTAGACCACTGAGCCGTGGGTGCGCACTGCTGAGGAGTCCCATACCAGAACGAAACGGCCGTCCAGTGCTTCCAGGTTTACCATGGTGGTCTAGCTTCAATTGACTCATGATTTCAACTTGTGAAATTTCTAAAAAATAAGAATTTCCACAAAACATTCTGATAAAAACAAATATTTGACACACTACTGATTTGGAAAAAAGATACATCTTTATTTGCTAAAATAGTGTTCTATGGTAAGTTAGAAAGGTGCTAAGTAATTAAGAAACTTGGAGTGGTATGTTAAGACTTGGAAATCAGATATTGAAGAGAGGTTGTAATAATTGGCTAGTGAAAAAGTGAAATGATTGCCGACCTGATAGTTATTAAGAATAATTAAAAAGTTGTAGTAGTTACTAATTAGTTCTGAAAATAATTGGGAGTAGGAACAATGAAATAAAAAGAAAGACGACAGATCATAGAAGATAGAAAGGGAGGTTAAGGGTGGGGGACTGAACATATTGTTTCTGTAGGAAAAGATTACGCTTAAACTGGTGGATAACAATAGAATCTGCCGTACACAAGTTGTCCATCTGCATTTATATCGAGCCAACGTTTCCATCTATAATTCTGGAGAAGCGGAGCGACCGGGATAGACTAGATGCTCCAAGATCGAGCTTTCAACTGACTTCTGTAATCTTTTGCAAAGCCAGGTAGGGTGATGATGTTCGGAGATGCGTTTCGAAAGGGCTCGCTTTGTGCGGCCAATACAGCCCGCTCCACAAGAACAAGTAAACTGATAAATGCACATTAATTTGAACCAAAGTGGGAGCTTGTCCTTCACATAACATCGGACCATAGACCGACTAAGAAAGATAGTGCAGAGTTCAGTGGAATAGAATGTTTTCCTCAGAGATCTTGAAAGCCTGTTTCTCATAATTTTTGCCACAGTATCTATTTCACACTGAATGTTAACGAAGTCGCGTTTGGTGCTGTGGACACCACGTTGTTGTTTTGGCTTAAGATTTTTCCCAATGAATTTAGGTGTATATCTGTTGCTAGTCAGTGCCTATCGTAGTCAAGTTCGGCATCGATTGTATCTTCTCTACAGATGCGTCCAGCCCTCGAACAGAGAGAATAGGTCAGGTTTCTCTTTTCCTTCAGTGGGACCTAACTTTGATAATTCGTGTACTGACCATTTGATGTTGGCTTTCTATGTATTGATCTTTGTAGAGAACCGCCAGGCCTCCTTTTTACCAAAGCTTCTAAGAGGTGGGAATATGAATATGGCAATCATTTTGCCGTGAACTTAGTTGACTGATAACAGTTATTGAACGAGTCCGGGATGTCAAAACATTGATGTCACAAATAATGAAAATGTTTTTTATAGAACGAAGCTACCAATTACTGGTCTAAGTATAATGTCTTTGAGATTAGCAATGAAACAGTCAACTAGAAATGGGTCGAGTGGTGACCCTATTGCAAAGCCATTAGTTTGTCTATAGAACTGATTTTTAAAATCTAAATTGGACGTCGGAAGTGCATCGAAGTAGTCCCTTTGAATATTGTATTAGAACACCGATACATTTGTTCAGCTTCTCAAAATATTCTATCTTAGTGCATCAACTGTTTAATAATTTTCTATAGCGTTATTTTGAATCCCATAAATCGACTAAGTATATAGTCAAACGAATCTATTGTGAAGCTAATTTTTCTACTTAAAGCACTAATAAAGAACGATAGCTTGACTAAAAAATCTAGCTCCTAACTTATTTTAGTTCACTTAGTAAATCTAGTTGTTTACATTATACAATCCTTTATTTGTTTACCATACTGTCGTTATGCGTAGGCTTTCTTATTCTTCCACTGTTCCTGCTAATATGACAATGCAATTTATTTCGAAATCATCCAAATGTCTAAATTTCTTTTGAAAATGTTTCCAGTACTTCCAACTAATTAGAAGGGAGTACTTAAATGTTTTGGGAATCTGCTGAACAGACAAAATTAACGACGAACACTCCGAAAGGTAACGGACACTAGACATTAGAGAGAGACATAAACCACTTGAGCTCATAAATTAATTCCGAATTCGAGTTCAGATGATACGCTTACTGTTCCCATAGTTTATTCTGTTTTTCTGAGTAATAACCTGGTTCAGTAAAAGGGATAGTAACCCAATGCTTTAGTATTCAACAGTTTATATGAATCTCAAAACGCTTCATGCTGTGAACTTATTACTGAATTTTTTCTCAAGTCGGTTATTGATGATATTGTTTACTCAGCATTTGTTCATTTCCAGAGAGTTGACCATTATTTATGACGCAAACTGTGCACCCACATTACTCTTAGAATATTCCCTGTGGGATCATGCATAGCTAAAACGAATAAGGTGAAAGTGAACCCTAGTGTTGTTTTTGCTCAATTACTAAGTTTGTATCTGTTTCAACACAAAACTAACACGACTGTGATTCTTACTTTCAGCTTTTAACATTATCTGTGAGAGGACTAAATATGGACACGAGCAGAGATAACTGTTTTTGGAATAATTATAACCTATAGATTTAATCTCGATTGGAAGATTAGATTTTTCTTCAATTTGTATAGTATCAAGCAAAGAGTAATAAAGAGGAGATAATAGAAGGACTTACAAATTGAATACTACCATTTGAATGATCACTCTGAAACTGTACTGAATAATCAATGTTTATAGTTAGCCTTTATATTTCTACCATAGTTCCAGATGTCTGCTAGAATAAATACATTTATGTACGCTTTAAAAAGGAATGATAAACCTTGAAACTGAGCAAAGTCTGGAATGAAACTGAAAAAAACAATCTCAATTGAGTTCGCGCTTAAGCTGTATAGATTATCAAGTTTCCCGTTACTTTTCCATTTATTCCATACGTTGGATTTCTTTAAAACCTACTGACGGAAAATTAGCTTACAACTGAAAACACTGTCGAATATATTCAAATTATAAACAACGTTGGAATTCGATGTTTTTTACAGAGCAGTATCTACAAGACGTTCGCAGATAAGGTCTAATATTTCGCTTAGTGATAAAAAAGGATTTCTATCAACGAAGGTTGTTACACAGGTTTAACGTTAAACAACTCAAATTCAATTTCGTAAGTGTTACTTAGAATTAATCGAGGTGTCGAAAAATTAAAGAGTAGAAACAGCAACTGGAGTACTGACTATTTACAAAGCCAAAATGAAATACACTAAAGATATCAGACATTAATTGCATTCCAAATAGTCTTTTTTCACTCTATCAAGTTTCTCTTGAGTTTCTGCGTCAATATTTATTTCTCTAAGACTGGATTTTGCACAGCGCTCATCACGTTCACTTTCCTCACAAATGAGTTGATCTACTACTTGTTCGATACAAAATAATAATTCCTTGTTTGTAACTGCTTCGTCAGTTTTAGGACATTGTGTTTGTTCTTCAGCTTTTGCTATATAATTGTGTAACTCGCGCAAAATAAAATAAACTCCATTGGACCGAAGAAATGTTCGTCCGTGACTTGTGGAGCAGAACTAAATTGACACTTAAAGAGTAAATAAAAAAGATTACCTGCAAAAATGTTTGGCAAATAGTAAGATACAACTCAGTGGAAAACAAACGAGAAAATTGGGAGCTCCCAGTTATAGTCTGCACAGACTTAGGCATTATAGCACGGTCTTCTTTGTCAATACAATCTTCTGGACCACAAAGTGGAACTAAAAGTGCATCAAGCAAACCAACGCCCTTGTTGAAAAGTTCACTATGAAGCTCTGGAAAGCCATATTTGAAAATAAGTTAAAATATTACGGATTACCATCTTCAAATGAGCAGTTTTTTATTATGCCAGCTATTAGAATTTTGATAGGGACGGAACTCACATTTGAAAATAAACCGATCAGCTTTCGTAATAGTTCTGATGAGCATATGGAGTGGCGTACTGATGTTAACCTACTTAGATTAAGTACTATCTTCGATAACCAAACCCAATTAGTAAAATTAACTTACTGGGAGAAACTTCTGGATAGAAGAACCTGAGCTGAGGATCGATCTAATATGTTTGTTATCAAAATGTTCACCAAAATGACCCAACCAAACAGGATCTCTAGTCAAATTTGAAATCAAGTCAATAACTAGAGACGCTAAATCAGCATGACTTCTAGAATTATCCAAAGAGAGGGTAGTAAGGATCCGAGTGAACTCTTCACGTTTTTCTTGAGTTGACAGCAGAGTTGATAAAAGACGTGTTCCTTGAACAGCTGAACAAATGTTAATTAAGCATTTGACAGATAATAGGAATTCTTCTGTGAGTGCTAAAGGAGAGAAATTATAATGATGAACTGGAGAATACACATTACAAGACAGAAAACACTCGACATACGAAATGATAGGAAAACGGAAACTGAGATGTGGTATATATACATCAACATATGAAAAGTGCAGTACGAAAATTTCGGACTAAATTAGATAGAGGATGTAGTGAGCTTACATAGACTAAAGAAAAGTCGGTTAATATTAAGATATCTAAGCAACCTTAGTTATCATCGATATCTTTATATTCCGATGATACCAAGAAATAAAAAGTGGTACGAAAAGTAGAGGGTATCGAGGAGGTTCACGAGAAGTTCTAGTAAACTAGTTAAGCAGTCGGAAACCATTAGACAATGTATGCGAGTGCACTAAGATATATACTGATCAGCAAGGCACAAATCCGCCCCCAAATGCCCTGGTATGGCCGAGAGTGGGGTGGGCCCGCCCTCCCTCTCTAAATGCTCTCACACAACCACGCGTATACAGTCCCTGCTAGGGAAGTCCTACTCACTGCCTTCTCGTGGCGGGGGTGTTGTTCACGAAAATGAGAGGACGAAAAGCGAATGTCCGGCGCTTTAACCGGATCCCGAACCAATGGCATATGAACCAATCGTTGGTCACCGGCCACCATGGGACTACATCTCCTCACGATGCTCTACTGCCTTGTGGGTCAGACCTTTAGGTCAAAGGCTCGGGGTGTGGTCCCCTAAGAAAACCACCTGCGTCGGTTTGGGCACCCGGTCAGTATCACAGCCCACACACAATTATAATGAAAATGATGATATTCCCTGAAAACTATTCTCGCTTCGATTTACAGTCAAACAGTTCACATTATTATTATTACTTACTACGTAATTTATTCACTCTCTTTTATTCCCACTTTATGTATCTTTATTTTTCGACTTATACAGCAGGTCCCCAATGGTGGAAACTCGGTTCCATCTAAACGTTCTCGAGTCACTACCTGGTTGAAAATTGTAAGGTACCACCAAATACGAATACTGAAGCAGTCGTCCTGAAACCACATGCACCATTCAAACTGACTGCCTTCAACGTTCGCACACTTATGCAGATCGGACAACAGATAGGGCTGGCGATATCTTTGGAAAGTCTTAATATCGATGTTTGTTGTCTATCCGAGACCCGTATTCAAGACTCTGGTGAAGTGCTACAAATTTACTCTCCATCTGTCGCTTCAAGAAGCTTGTTTTACGTGTCTATCCGGGGACCCTATGGCATCTTCGTCCGGTCTTGCTGGCGTTGGTGTCGCACTAAGCGCTAGAGCTGAGGCAGCACTAATCGATTGGAACCCATTAACAGTCGGTTATGTGCTGTTAGATTAGAAAGTTCCATCAAAGTGAGGAGAAATCGGCGTGGGAAACGATGTCTTTTCATCATCTCCGCCTATGCATCGACAGATTGCAGCCCGGATGCAATCAAGGATGAATTCTACCACCAGTTAACTGTTCTCCAGAAATTGTAGTACTAGCGAGACTTGAATGCTCAGGTCGGGCGTCTAGGCATAGAATAGAGTCGTTTAGATGGCCGATGGGGACTTGTTGGTCGCAGGACAGATAACGGGGACCGTCTACTGCAACTGTGCACAGACCACAACCTGTTTCTGGCTAGCACTAACTTCCAGTACAGTCATCGCCGATGTGCCACCTGGCGTCCTCCCTCTGCATCCCAAGCCTGGACTCAGATTGATCATATCGCGATCAGCTACCGCTGGCGTGGATGTACCTGTTTAGACTCTGATCATGCCCTGGTCTGCGCCAATCTTACCTTACTTATCAGTGGCCAACGAAGTGACCGCCACCAAAGGATTGATGTCAGCACGTTGGTTTCAACTTCTGTTGCTAGTAAGTATCGAACTGAGCTAGTTTCTAGGTTAGCTACCATTCCACCGAAAAGTATAGATGAGCGGTGGTTGCAATTGCATGACGCCATGAAAATGGCAGGTACAGTCAGTTGTGGGTTCGCGTAACGTCCCGCTTATAAGCGCTGGGTTTTTTCAGGCTCCTTACAATTCATTGAAGCCCGTCGGTCTACTCCGGGTAACGAGTTTGACCACAAACGACAGCTGTTACGTAATGAGATCTGGCAAAGCTTGTGTAAGGAACGAGAAGCCTGGTGGTTGGAGCGTGCTAATGAGCTGGAAGCAGCAGCTGCATCTGGTAACTACCGGAAACTCTTCCAACTCATCCGAGCCACTGGCTGCAAGAAGTCTGGTGTGAGCGAAACAATCTGCGAGGATGACGGGATGCCAATCACTAACATCCATCGAAGTCTTGGACGATGGGCAGAATTTTTCGAAGAGCAGTTCAACTGGCCTTCTGCTCTGGCAACATCGGTCAGACTGTCCTGCCCTTCATGGCCGGAGACGACTGATCCACCGAATGAGGCGGAAGTCCGAAAGGAACTTCGACTCTTAGACCGCTACAAATCACCGGGCCCAGATAACTTACCTCCGGCTCTTTTTAAAGATGATGGTGACTTTCTGACTAAGGAATTGACGACGTTGTTTACAAAGGTCTGGAAACTAGAGAGTGTACCAACGTCATGGAATGAGTCGACAGTTGTCTGTAACAACTATTGGGGGATAAGTCTACTTCCGATTGCGTCCAAGCTATTGGCTTTCTCCATGCTTCGTAGGTTGTTCAAAACCGAGAAGGATTGATTCGAGAGGATCAGGCTGGTTTTCGTTCTGGTTGAGGATGTATTGATCATATCTTCACCCTCTGCCAAATGTTCAAACACCGTCATACTTATCACACGCCAACAATCGTAGTGTTTCTTGACATCAGGGTTGCCTTCAATTCGTTGGACAGGACTGTTCTCTGGGATAGTCTATTGAAGAAGGGTGTGCCTGAAAAGTTTATTAGCATCCTAAAAGCCCTATATAAAAACACCTCAGGCAGAGTGAGGGCATACAACCACCTCTCTCCATTGTTCCATTCGAGCAGTGGGGTTAAGCAGGGTTGCCCAATCTCACCATTCCTCTTCAACTTTGTCATCGATGACACTCTTGAAACAGCTCTGATGGATGTAGGTAATGGCGGTGTGGATCTGTTACCTGGAGAAAGACTTCTCGACCTTGAGAATGCGAATGATATTGTCTTAGTGTGCGATAATGCCCAAGTCATAGAATTCACACTTAATCAGTTAGCAATCAGTGTCCGTAGATATGGCATGTGCTTTGCACCTTAAAAGTGCAAAGTACTTCTACAAGACTGGTAGGATTCTAATCCTGGATGGTGAGCAGATAGAAGTAGTCGAGAAGTTCCTGTATCTAGGTAGCTGCATAAGTGCTGGTGGTCGCGTGAGTGATGAGATCAATGCACGTATAGTAAAAGCCAGAGCGGTTTATACCAATCTGGGCCATCTTTGGCGCATTCGTGATGTTAGTCTGGCTGTAAAAGGTCGGACCTACAACGCGTCGGTGAGAGCAGTTTTGCTCTATGCTTGTGAAACCTGGCCTCTCCGAGTTGAGGATGTTAGAAAACTCTCTGTGTTTGATCATCGCTGTCTCTGAAGGATTGCTGACATTTAGTGGTAGCACCATGTTAGTAATGCAGAGGTTCGGCATCGTGGCTAGAGACGTTATCAGATATGGCTCAGAACAGGAGCCAGTGGCGATCCTGCTGTAAACTTCTTTTAATTTCTTCATAAAAAGTGGTTGTATCTTCCTTAACTGAAAGATTTCTTCTGATTGTACCTTTCCGTCTCCTCCACTATCACTACTATTATTATTATTACTACACTATCTTACACTAATCTGTTCGTTATTGTTCTTTTTTTCTCTTTGAATTCCCATTGTTTTGTGTGGCGCACATATATTTGGTGTTCTCTTGTACCAATATTTATGTGTTCAAATAAATAAATAAGGCACAAATCCACACCCAATGATGATACTGAGTTTTTATTGATCTAGACACACACTGACCTTACAAGCACAAGCTAGTCAACATTTGATGAAAGGACTGAATACTGCAGTGCGATAGCCGCTGAAAGTTTAAGAGATGTATCGAGTGTCGTCTAGATACTAAGCCATTCGAACTATTTACCGCTTATTTGTTTGTTTAAAACTACATTATTGCATAGTATCAGTCTCTACAGAAGATAGTGGTCAACTAGAGGCATTCTACTGAACCCTAAGGATAAATATGTAGGGACTACAGTTGCACTAAACCTGCTACCTTCATAAAAACGGACTAGAAAGGATAGAGTCACAGTTAGATTATGGATATTTTGTACTTAATGCCGACTTAGTATTAGTTTAACAGAACAAGATTTAGAGACACTTCAGAAATATGAAAAACACGGCACTAGTCTTCCGTTGAGTGAACATTCTCAATCTCTCTATTTCAAGAAAGAGGCACACAAACCTCAAAATTTCCCCAGATCAGGGGAAATCCCCGAAATGTTTGGGGAAACTTTGAGTTTTCCCCAATATTTCCACAAAATTTTATAATACTTTGAGGTTTTACTCCGAAATTCGGGGAAAACTACCATATTTATTCCAACTTTGAAGGGAAACCGCGAAATTTCTCCAAGATAATGAGATTGGGTTCCCTCATATTACTAATGATTGTAACTCGTTAACGTTAACCACTCCAGATTATGTTATAGTCACATTAAAGATTAAATGAAACCGTTTAACACAAAGTTTATATCCTTTCGTCTTTTATACATTTGATCCTATAAATAACTGCATGAAATATGGCGACACTAAACAGGACAGAAATGTGCTGACAAGCTTTTGGGGTTCAGGAATCGAACAGACTGACATATTCTACTGAAGAGACACTAGAATCGATCGAAATTACACACAACAGGATAATTTGGCGTACATTACTAAAACATAACATGTAGTAAAAATTAGCCTGAAAAACAGCTATTTATCGTCAAGGTCAAGGCCTGTATGTAAGCATATTACAAGTCTTGGGAAGAAGGTATATTGATGTGGACTTTCAATAAACTATCTGAAGGTCTAGAGCCAAGTAAGCGATTAGGATCAAGCAAGACATTCTGAAAGAGACTATGTGGCTAATACTGTACACACTAAAAACGAATCATAAATACTGGAGTTTTAAAAATTACGTGCTTGAACGACTAATAAAGGCGATGATGAAAATCCGAGACTTAATTCTATTAGTAATCTACCATAAGTGGTACGTGCATACATTTTTAAGTCATATATATATATATATATATATATATATTCAAAACAGGAAAAGCCAACTACAAACCTTTTGACAAGTCAGACGAACATACTACTTTCACAACCTGATTCAGGTAGTGCTCAAGAAGTTCATCCTCAATATCCATTTTAGCCGCAGTAACCTGAAGCAAGGCTTTCAGCTGACATGCTTGGGACATCGCAACGTACAAACTATTTTTGCCACTTGCAGGATTATATGTCCAATAAAGAATAAGCTTTTAATAAGCTGAATAAAGTTAAGTATTTTCTTAGTAAATAGGTCCTGAAGTCCGAAAGTAGTTTTCTCCATGTGTATCTTCTTTAAGGTGATGGATTTAGTGGGGCTGACAGTTGCCATTATAAATATTGTCTAATTGATCATTGTGACGAACCAGGAGACTTCAGGAGGTAAGAATGAGGTAACAACAAACAACGGCAGCGATTTAATTGTGCTGACAATTGATGCGTAGTAAAACTCAGCCAAACTAGTTGGGTTGTAGAGATCGCATTCGCTTACACTCGAGTAAATCAGAGGCATATAATAGTGGCACATGTGAGATGGCTAGTTGTACAACCCAATCTTGACACGAGTAAGTGACTACGGAGAAAATACACCACGGCTCACATTGGATTGCTAAGGAATTTTTGTCTCAGTTCACATATGTACGTGGACAAAGGCTGATTGCTACTACATCTCTGGTGGTTTGATTCCGCCACATATCGTACACCACTGAAGCAGCAGCATTGAGACCGGTGTTTGTGACTGAGCTGCTCATCAACTTAAAACTTGGCAAGTCATCGGGTTACATTTACGATTGTTGTCAACCCGAGGGGACACTTTCCGAGCCGCGCACGGTGAGTTTCACCGTGTCACTTTCCAACACTCAACTCCTGAGTCACTTGAGGAATGCTATAGTTAACCCTGTGTTAAAGTACTGAAAGAGACAGATCATGTCTGGTTATTAAACCATCAGTCCAACTAACATATTAGTTACGTTGCTTCAAAAAGTGATTCAAGCTAAGTCACTAAGTCGTGTAAAATCATGCAATCTAGAAACTCTCGAGCAACACTGGTCTCAGAATGAGCATTAATGCTTAACCAACCTGCTAATTGCGGAGCAGGATTTGGCAACAGTCTAAGATTTCGGCTTGTCTGTCCATAACAAATTTCTGGATTTTAGCACTGTGCTTTCATAGAAGCTCTCAAAATTCGGGATATCAAGCAACATACGGAAGTGTGTAAGAAGAATCCTTAGTTGCCGGAGGCGGAGAGTGAATGTTGACGATATGCCATTTGAACTGTAAAGAGGTCGAGAGTGGTTTGACTTAAGGCAGCAGTTTGAAATATAAAAGATAAAAATTTCTTTCCTCTCATATGGTGATTAGTTGGGGGCGTGTGCCAATTGCAGGATGTGCACTATATCTTCACGTGCCTTCTTCGCTTTCACTATCTGCATAAATTGCTACTCATCCTGGAAAGGAGATTACGTTTGTGTTAGCTATATAAACTGTGTCTATGGACAACAAGTAGGATTTTGTACGGTATTCATTACATGCATGTTAGATGGACATAGCTGTAAATTTACTTTGGAATATGTTTGATGATTTCAGTAGTATGAATAAATTATATCAGTAATTAGTCTTAATAATCAGTACATAAAACACCAAACATTTGACATGTCTTTATAATAGCATACAAATATTACCTCAAATTTAACCATTTCAATTTTGAAGAAGAGATAATAGGTTTCTACTTTATGTAAAAGAACTGGTCAAAAAATTTTCATTTTTTTAAGACGAGAGAAGTAACCGACTGATTTAAACTATTTTCTAACCTGTAAGGTATTGGAAGAAAAAATACCACTATTTTCCCGAAGAACTAAATGTTAGTTACTAATATCTGTACTCAACTAAGAAATGTTCGATTATACATAAAATAATCTTTTTGGTTACTTAGTTGTGAAAATTTCAATAATGTGTTGGGTATATATACACCTAGTGAGAATAGCAATTTTAATACAATCGAAGTATATATATATATATATATATATATATATGCGCTATTATTTATTCTATCTTTAAATTAAAATAAGTCAATTATTCATCATCTTTTCATTATCTGCAAAAAGTTATTTTTATCCGGTCAGTATAACCTTAAATAACCATTCTATTGTCAGAAGTCTATGACTTTTGTTTGAGCAAATCATGTGAGTAATATTTAATATTAAATGAATGGGATATATAGATATATACATATGTGTATATAGTTTTGTATCAAGATTTATATTGGTATAAAAGTGAATTTTTCATTTCTTTTCAAGTCTTTTCTATTTGACTACTTCAATTAATTTAGGGAAGTCATATGAATATCACACTTTGATAAATACCATTCATTATAGAGTTTTTTTTGTTCTGAAGAAAACGATCTCTTTTCAATAAAATTTTCATTGCTGTGTATTATGTACAAAAAGGACTATAATAATAATAATGGTAATAGTTGGTATTTGTTCATGACTTAGATCAAAAGTAACGTATTGAATGATCAAGGACTTAAGTTATTCACCTTTCAAATGAAAATATATTGAAGTGGATCAAACTTAGAATAATGTCAAAATAAATTGTATTTTAATTATACTTTTAATACTAGCGGTAATTACATAGTTGAATAGATTTCATATGAAAATAACATCAGATGTTTTATTTTGTTGAAAATAAATTTAACATGCTTTTATGTTTTGTATTATGTCAACACTTGACTTGAATGATAAATGTTACTTTTTAGATATAAACTGTGTTTTTTTATTTATTTACATTACTCTATAACAGTCTTTGGATATAAGATTTTGTCAAAACAAAGTAATCAATTTTACGATAAGCTATTTTAAAAAGAAAAGTACATCGAATTCAATATATTCCGTTTTGTCCTAGTATGGGACTCCTCAGCAGTGTGAATCCACGATCCCGCTCATGGGATTCGAACTTAGGACCTATCACTTAATTCTGTAATAATTTTGCTATGCACTACTTTATTTAACGGAAATATTAGAATATGACTGGGGCATTATTCGAATTGTTTTGGAATTTAATAATTTTGAAGTATTTTACTCTAAAAGAAGATTCCAATTATTTACAATATAACTTGGAATGCATTTAAATTTATAGGGATTGTTTACATTTTGTTAAATGAACCGTAGTCATATGACTACCATTTTGTCCAAACAAAACTGATAATGAATAAAACCATTTTATACACAGTTAATAAAATAAACATATTAAATTTAATAATTACTAGAATAACATTTAAAAATAAACAGCAATATCAATGTTGTTTGGAAGCTATACAATGGAACATATAATACCAACATAGTGAAGTTAGGTTAGTTAGCATTAAACTACGAAAGAATATCAGTCTCCCATTGAGTAATTACTACTAACATACTATCTGACCTATAAATTTGATTGGATTCTATTGGCCATGTTTGTCCAGACGTTACTGAGTTACTTCATTTGAAACATACAAATTAACAACAAAACATGTAGGATTTGTAGTAATATTCAAGAAAATAACCATTTCATTAAAAATGAATGAAATTAGGAATATATTTTACGAAAATAACCTATTTTATTGAGTTAATCAATATATGTATATGTACAAATAGTCAATATGATTTGAGTTTTATCATTCTAAGTGTTTCAAATGTATGTGATTAATAGTTTCTCGTCAATTTCTGAAGTCCATGCTTCATAATTGTATTTTTTTTTTAAAAGGCATAATTCTAATAGATGATCACAACGTTAATTAGCAGTTTACATTTTTGACTTTCTCAAATCTATGATAGTGATTTGAAATTTCACTAATCAACTTGATTAACTTAATGGGTTTTTATATAGTAAATATACCGTATCATTAATAAATACATTTATGAATTAGATGATATTTATATTATTTTCTTAGAATAGTCAGCTTCAATATTATTCTTTTTCAAAGGATTTTTAACAGTTGTCAATGTAAAGTTATTGTCAGTACACAGAACTCTTACGTAATAACTATCAAAATTGTACAATAAACCTTATTTAATGTTACACATATGACAAAATTCAATAATTCTGTTACTTCCATATCGACTTCTAGAAATGTTTTCATTGAAAGAGAAATCAGTCTTACATACATACATACTGATAAATTACGATATTTTCATCATGCTTGTGAGGACGGTTCATTGGTGAACTCGAGGAAGCCGTAAGAAGCACAGAAAGAGCCAAAGATATTCCATTCAATCATCTTTTGGAAGAATATTTCAGAATATCTACGTGTAGCTTCCCTATTGAACAAATGCTAATAACCTCATGTATACGGAGTGTATGACTATAATGATGATTTCGTTTTTACTAAAAACCATAAATACCTGATAGTTTTGTAATATAATTGAAATTGTTTGGAATAGCATTCCTTTCACTTGTCTTCTATCTTCTTATTTGCAAATTGGAGGATTCTAGTGTTCGATTGCGCAAGTTGTACACAGTATATTAGGAATCTACGCACTAGATAGAACAATGCTTAACATTGAAATCTGAATACAACCTTACTCAATCGATATTTTACTTACCATAAATGATAATATTTCACATAATTTTCTAAACTTACGCCTGTTACTCTCAATGGAGGATAGGCCTCCCACCAGCATTCTCAAACCCACTCTGTCCTAGGCGTTTCTTTTCAGTTCTCTTCAACTGTGGTTCATTTTTCTCATGTCTGTCTCCATTTCTTGACGTAATGTGTTCTTTGATCTTCCTCTTTTCTTTTGGCCTTGATGATTTCATGTGAGGGCTAGTCTTGTGACGCAGTTGGGTACTTTCCTCAATATGTGTCCTATCCACTTCCTAATTTCTTCTTCCACTGGGATCTGGTTCGTTCTGTCCCACAATAGGCTGTTGCTGATAGTGTCTGGCCAATGGATCCGAAGTATTTTGCATAGACATCTGTTAATAAACACTAATTTTCTAAAAAGTTATTATATATTTCATCAAACAATTCAGTATATAAATGAATAGAAACGTTCTTTAAATGAATGTAAATATACAATATTTTAAATTAGATTTAGTTTTATAATAAATAAAAATTAAATAACTAAGTATATTCATTAAATAATTTATGAATTTTATAATTAGTCTAAGAGTAATAAGCTAATAACTATTATATAACAGAATTGATTTCAATATCTCATTTGTATAGTTTATATCGCTATGAAACTCACTTGTTTCAACTATGATTAAAACAATAATAATAATAATATTTAAGTCAATAATATAAATTGTAACTATTGTGATTTGAATATTCCATTTAACTTTCCATATATATTCCAGGTATATAGAGAAATCTAATAGTAATAACCAGTAAAGTATAAATCATTCAACAACATATCCAAGCAACTTTTTTCTCTCTTAATTTTCAATTATGTTCTAAATCAATACGGTTCATGAAAACAATCTCTGAACTAGTTATATCTCTTTAGATCAACAGTCCAATTTCCAAGTATATCATGTATATCATCATTATTATTCTATTTCTACTCTGGTGTCGATCTAAACTCTTTATAGTATCATTTTCAAATGATTGGTTAATTCGAAATTGTAATATGTATTTATGTACATGAATGTATGTGTACATATATATATGCTTGTGTGTGTGTGTGTTTGTATAAATTTGATCTCAAGCCAAACCTAATACTTGAAATAATATTGTTACTATCATCATTACTGTTATATTCTATTATCTCAATAGTAATTTTATAATATAAAGTATTTAATTTGTTGGAAAAATGTGTCATGAGTAGAAACAAATAAAAAGAAGAATAAAGTTAATAAAAGTACATTTGTAAAAAAAAAAGAAGTTTATAATTGGTGAGTATTATTATCTAGATTTACTTATATAAGTAATAGGTATTCTTGTGTACTTTCCTATCATATATAAATATATATATACTTTGTACATTTATTGAATCCGATTTGAATATGCAATTATTAAAAGTACAATTAACAAATTTGTGATATTCCAGTTGATAATTGTAATCATCACACTATTTCTACTTATAAAAAAAAACAGAGAGAGAGAGAAAGAGGAAGAATAAAAGAATAAAAGGAATCTAATCGATAACTATACATTGAAAATAACAAGTTAACTCTGATTATCATTAAATAAAACTATTATTATTTAATAATTTTCTTCAAAACTTTATCTATCCGAATGTTAATAAACGTTCAATTAGATCCTAATGAAATGAATAAACAGATTAATTCGAATGGAATTACATCAGAAATTATAAATAATACTTCTACTAATAATTCTAAATTGCCGTCTTTCTCTTTATCATCTTCATCTTCATCATCATCATCATCAACATCAACATCATCAATGTCTTCATCACCTCTACTTAATCTGTCATCTTTAAAACATGATGAAAATAAAATTTCTGATGAAAATGTAAAGTTAAATGTATCAAACAAACCTACAGTACGAAATATTCTTGCAACTACACATAAAATACCAATATATTATTTAAGTCGTGGAAATAATTCACAATTGTAAGTTTATTTCTTTAAATGATAACAGTTTTTAAATTCAATTGATATTGTTTACTTAAATCTTCCCATTGATGTTTAGGATTGTAATTGATCGGTCGTTTATTGGTAAATGTGTATACTGTATGTGTGAATTGAAACTTCAACCCATTGCACAAACAAATGACTATCAAGACTCAGTAGCTAAGTGGATAACGCGATGGTATTTGAAGCGAACAGTACTGGGGTCGAGCCTCAGAGTGGACACCAACCTTGAGATGTAGGTACATCTAGCTGACGAGTCTAAAATAGGACGAAACGCGCGTCCTGGATTCCACTGCTAGCCACTATCTATTTTTGCTGATAATAGTTTTTCTTTATAAAAATTTCATTTTTTTATAAAATCTAGTGTGGAGCAAGATAATGGAAATTGAAATTGTTTACTAAAGGTAATTATACAAATCAACTTGAAACTTACTCATTACTCTTATTTACGATAGCTGATAATCAACAAAAATGCAGTCTGCGATAAATAGTTTGTAATTTTTGAAGAATGAAAACGTTATTTCTTCAAGTACCTAGAACTGTACAAAAGAGTGTAGAGTTACAGTAGTTCATTGGTTGTATAAAGAAACTGTATCTTATAATATTTAGTTTTATAGTGTTATGCATAAATAAATCACTTGAAATGTGAATATTTTAATCCTGTATCGTAGAAACAAGTATACTTGATGATAACCTGATTTATTCTTTTATATAAAATATAAAACATTATGTAAGAAGTTGATCGATTGTGATTAAAATTATATTGGTTTCCTTTAAAATCCAAATAAAACTTTTCTCAGAATGGGTTTTGTGGAGAGTTTAAGAAATTTCACAGGTTGAAATCATGAGTCAGTTGAAGCTAGACCACCAGTGATAACCTGGAAGCACTGGACGGCCGTTTGATCCTAGTATGGGACTCCTCAGCCGTGCGCATCCACGAACCCGCACCACGCGGGGCTCGAACCCATGACCTACTGGCTTCGCGCGCGACCACTTAACCACTAAACCACTGAGCCGGCATCCAACGGTGTTAATGTCTAACTTCAACCAATCCACGAAGTTGTCTTCAGTGAGTTGTTATCTCATAACAGACCGGTTGAACTCCACTGGTAACGGCTTCTCACTAGAACTCCAGGAGTTTTTCTTCAAGTCAGTCACTAGTGAGCAGTTGATTATTATCAGAATGGGTTTTGTGGAGAGTTTATACAAATTTCATAGGTTGAAATCATGAGTGGATTGAAGCTAGACCACCATGGATAAGGTGGAAGCACTGGACGGCCGTTTCGTCCTAGTATGTGACTCCTCAGAAGTGCGCATCCACGATCCCGCACCACGCGGGGCTCGAACCCAGGACCTACTGGCTTCGCGTGCGAGCACTTAACCATCAGACCACTGAGCTGGTTGTTGAAGTTAGACATTAACACCGTTGGATGCCGGCCGGCTCAGTGGTCTAATGGTTAAGTGCTCGCGCGCGAAGCCAGTAGGTCCTGGTTTCGAATCCCGCGGGGTGCGTGCTCGTGGATGCACACTGTTTAGGAGTCCCATAAAAGAACGAAACGGCCATCCAGTGCTTCCAGATTTCCATTGGTGGTCTAATAGAAATCGATTCATGATCTCAATCAAAAGCATTTAAGATTTCGTTCACAAACGATAAATCAGCTTTTCTAATGAACGTATTTGCGAATAGTTTTTCTCAAAAGTTTTGTTATCTAGATATTCTTTAGGATTCCTGTCGATTATTATGTTAGGCTTTTTCATTATATGATTGATTGATAAAGTCAACTAGACAATAGTTCTACTTTTCTTGTAAATCTTATGTCAGATATGTAAAAAATCAATATTTCGGAATTTCCGAACTCAGTTCTCTAACAATCACTATTGTATATTCAAACTTTTAGCTTGATTAGTAATATGACTGAAATCATTAGCATTTAGATCAGTTTCAATTCAAGCAAGTTTTTGATTTTTTTCAATATCCTGACACTGTGTTCTCGTCGTCAATATAAAATAAAATATGATCTAAACGACTTCACTATTATTATGAAGAAATGTTTTGTTACTCATTTTATGGAAAAAGAGATTGTGATTTTCGTCCTATTCATTAAGTTATACTAATGGATTAATTGAGTTCAATAAATGTTTACAATGAGTAATTATTCTACTAGATAAACTTTGGTTTAGACTCAAAATGAATGAAAACCTGGGTAGTTGAACTGTTTAGACTTTCATCTTTTAGCCCTATTTATTAGGGCGTGTGACTGGTTGCTTAGAAACTGCTGGTTTAATTTGCGGGATAGTGTAGTTTGTTTTCAATTTTAACTTCATTACAAAGATGATTAACAGTTCACAACTATTCGATTTGTAAAATTTTATTACCTGAACTCTATAAAATAAAGGTATACTGAGAGTAAAGAATAAATAATGGGTTTATTTATAGTTGGAGTTCAGTTGCTGTTGGGAATGGAAGAACACAAAGAGTGTTGATGAAATTGCCTAATTTTTAATTATCGTTCAATGTAATGAACAGTGTTAACCTAATATTGAACATAAATTTGGTAGTATTTCAAAACCTGTAATAATAAGTTTATAAAAGCTGGTCTCATCCAATGAATATAACAACATTTCTTTATCTTTCAACTTCGTTACTAAAAAAAGTATATTAGTTGGTATTTGTTAACCCATGGAATACTTATCATTATGGTGATCTAATATTTCCATTTCATAAATACATGTTATATCATTTTTATTAAAAGAGAGTTTCGGCCGCTACCCTTAAGATAATAAAGGAAGCGTGACTTGATTTTATTTTTAATCTTTGAGTGATGGTTTTGTTTATGACCGGTCTTAGAAGAACCGAAATGATGTTATATATTGACAATATTACGACTATTTAAGATATAAAGTGATAAAAATGCAAAAAGGGTAAACGGTCAACCACCTTAATAGCTTCTTACATGAGAAATTGAACCTTGTTACGATATTTAGTGAGTACTTATTATATCCCTCTTAATTTTGCCTCAGTAACCAACAAGTCGATTAAGTGAAATTAATTTGATGTTTTGTTTAACTTTCTGAATAAGAAATGTTCAAATCAATTTTAATTGATTCTCTCCATAATTCTAATTAAAGCAATAATAATCAAACATCTTTTGTAGTTTAGTTACTAGCAGTCTACTAGAAAACGAGCATAAAGCCAACATAACGAACACATTTAAAGTGATCATTATTCAGTAAAACTCTGATTAGTCAGTGATCGTGTATGTTATGGCACTTTTGTATTTAAAAAGATCAAATACTTAATCTTTCCTTATATCACAATGCAATATTGTAATGAATACTATTAGAGCTATTACTACAAACATTTACAAAGACTCCCTTAAACTGTAGATTCCAAATTCTTTTACATTGAAAACAACATATTTGTCAATATTGATATGAGGTTGTGGAGATTGTTACGTATTCGACTGAGACCATGAATTAATCAATGTCTGACCACCATTGAAAACCTGGAAGCACTGGACGGCTATCCATCAATTTTTTATTGATAGATGGTTCGGTTTTCCTACAAATTCAACTAAACTTATTATCTCGTACGTAGTTAATGTGACGACAACAAAATTCAGTGAATTGATCTTATTCTGCAAATATTATCATTTTTGTATTGTTAAACATTAAAATGATTTCACTATCAAGAAACAAATCAATTTAGCATTTGATCATACATTTAAGCATATTGTATTTGGTATACTATTTGAAACTGTAAAAGTATTGTTAATTTGTGATTAACTTACCCATAATTTTGACTGCACATTACAAAGTATCACGATACCATAAAATTGAATTATAAAGTTTTACATTGTTTCCATTTTATATAAGATTAAACTATGGAAGTTGATAATACTGTACTGGAAAATTAATCAGATTTATGTGTGTATGTGTGTGTGTGTGCGTGAACTTGAATGAAGAATTTAACTAAGAAAACAATTTGACAAATCTTTAACCTGAGAGTGATTTGATATGAAAGGGAAAATAATAACGTGATTAATAATTGCTTCACATCATTAATATTAATACATAATTTGAAGCTCATAAATTACCCATATAAATGTATGCTTCTAAGAGTTTTCATGGAATTCATATTAGCTGCACTAAATTTTGGTTAACAGATTCTGTTTTCTAATTTCAATGACAAATGAGACAGGGTTGTGTGGAGATTGTATTAATTTAATAATTGAAATCATGAGTCAATTGAAGCAAAATCACCATAGAAAACCTGGAATCACTGGAAAGCCGTTTCATCCTAGTGTGGGACCCCTCAGCAGTGTGCATTCACGATCCCACCTCACGTGGCTTGGACCCAGTATCTATCAGTCTCATGCGCGAACGCTAAACCTTTAGACCACTGAGCTGGCATCCAGTGGTGTTAAGGTCTATCTTTAAGTAATCCGCGAGATAACGCCACCGCCCACGATTGTCTTAATTGAGTTACTATCTCACAACAGACCCGATTGAACTCCACTGGTCACGGGTCCCCTGTCTGAATCTCGCGGGGCGAGATCGTAGGTGCGCACTGCTGAGGAGTTTCATACTAGGATGAGATGGCCGCCCAGTGATTCCAGGTTTTTCATGGTGGTCTAGCTTCAATTGACTTATAAATTTAATTATTAAATTTCAGTAACTTATGATGATAAAAATATTTATTTCTATAAATTCTAACATGACAGGGTGGTTGATTTTACGAGATATTGAGTTTATTGACTTTCATCCACTTAGATGGTTTTATATACATGTTGAACATCCTGAGGCATTGTTTATTATTCTATTCTATGCTTCTTGTTAGACAGAAATTATGGGTCACTATAGCTCGGAATACTATCAAGCAGTTCATATTGCAAATGACTGTTGGTGTAGGTTATTTCAACGTAGTCTATGACTTAGATATAAGTAACAACATTTCTAGACAAACTATAAAATTGATC